CAACATATCATGAAATAATTACTGCATCACCACTATCTAAGATTCTCGCTACTAATAGTACTATAATTCTTCAGACTTCAGCTAAACAGACAGGCTTTGCTGCGGGAGGAATACTGACTAAGACAAATCAATGAATAAACATGACAGTGTAACCACGGCAACTGCATCCACAAATCCTGTGCATATGAAGTATCAGAAACGATTAGTAATGCATCTTTCAGAATCTCTTCCCGGACATCATAAATGACTAGTCTCTTAATACTGTCTCTGAACAGCTGAGTCTTTGACAGCATTTAGAAGTGAAACACATAAAGGGGAGAATTTATGGATGTCAACTTCTTTATTTTGAAGAACACAACATCTTGGAATATATTCTAACTCCTTCATCAGGTGAATATATACTGTAATCGTATATATATTTTCATGGGGTGCAATTTTCGCGGAAAGTTCGCAAAAGACCTATTAGCGCAGTAGTTTTTTCGCGCATTTCAAACGCCTGAGTGATGGTGTCCATCACAAAGTTTTCACAACCGATAGACATGCAATGATCAAAGCTAGCCGCCGTAATTGAATCGTGTTTACTAAAACAATCAGAGAGAGGTCGGATTATACTTGTGTCAACATTGTGATTTGTGACTGATGTAAGTGAGCTTCGTTCATTTTGTGATTACGAGTAATCAGCTATCAATTAACTGACAAACTGATAACAAACATTTGCTGATTGTGATCGCTATTACTAGTAGACTAGTATATGCCTCTATTCCTTTCTATATTGTTTTGATGTTGTTATCTGAGAGAATAAACAAATTGCATGTTGTTCCTACTTGAGTATTTGTCATGACTTGACCATGAATATTTCGCTTGGTATGATTATTGATGCACAATCATTTTGCGCTAAAAGCACGAAAATTAATCCCACGCGAAAATAACTACGATTACAGTATTCATTCACCTGATGAAGGAGTAAGAATATATCTTTCATCAAAATAAAGAAGCTGAGATCCATAAATTCTCGCCTTTAAAGTCTCTATGGTTATTCAGGGTCTGTCACTCACAGGGTTTTGTCCTCAACCTTCAGCAGCTGTGGTTTATGATTAATATGAACATAAAGCAAACTTCGTCATTCCTCGCAGATGCTTCAAAATATCCATACAAGCATTTGAAGTCCCAGTACAACATGTATTGGACATGTGCAACGATCCTCCGCTCATTGATCTCTCAGCTTTTGTTTCCATTCATTTCAGTCCAGAAATTTTGGATGAATGCCAAGTAATATAAATATCTAACCTTGTCTAATCAGTTATTGAAACTCTAACACAACAATGATAAGGACACTAAGATCAGCAGAAAATGATGAGAGACATGTTTGGAACCAGGATTGCGACTTAAATGGCTGCACCCCAACATGCCTTTTATAACTATTCTCTTTGTTCATGGTTAAACCAATCTTAGATTTTGGAAAAATAAACTATAAAATTACAAAATAAATTCCCACTGCCGATAATAATGATGGCATTGATACAGTGAGTACATGATGCCTTTAAAATGAAGAAAGTATCAGTTATAAACATTGTATGAAATGATTTCAATTTGTTCTTAAGAAAGACAATACAGCTTTCAATCCTGGGCCTAGATTTTCAAAATTCTCTTAGCGTTGAGATAGTCAGTCGTAAGTGCCATGCATTAACATTAACTTACAACTATCTTAGCGCTAAGAGAGCTTGAAAATCTAGGCCCTGACCACCGACACAAAGGAATGTTCACGCGATTCATCAATAAACATATATACTGCAATGTTTTAAACTTTGAAATTTTCTTCTAAATAAATTGCGTGTTAAATTATAGATATATAAAGACATTTGACCTAACAATCACTGAATCAGACAATGTTGCTTTTAAGTAGGATGAATGATAAGACACAAAGACAAAGAACCCCTCCATCCACCCCCACAAAGACACTAACCCCTCCATCCCACCCCCACAAAGACACTAACCCTCCATCCCACCCCCACAAAGACACTAACCCCTCCATCCCACCCCCCAGACAGACACTCCACCCCACCAAAGACACTAACCCCATCCCCACCCTCCATCCCACCCCCCAAAGACACTAACCCTCCATCCCCCCCCCACAGACACTAACCCTCCATCCACCCCCACAGACACTAACCCCTCCATCCCACCCCCACAAAGACACTAACCCCTCCATCCCACCCCCATCCCAAAGACACTAACCCTCCATCCCACCCCGACCCACCCTCCATCCCAGACACTAACCCCTCCATCCACCCCCACAAAGACACTAACCCCTCCATCCCACCCCACAAGAGACTAGCCCCTCCATAACCCTCCATCCCCCCCCACAAGAGACACTAACCCCTCCTCCACCCCTCCATCCCCAAAGACACTAACCCCTCCATCCCACCCCCACAAGACACTAACCCCTCCATCCCACCCCCACAAAAGACACTAACCCTCCATCCACCCCCACAAAGAGACACTAACCCCTCCATCCCACCCCCACAAAGACTAACTAACCCCTCCATCCCATCCCCACAAAGACACTAACCCCCTCCACCCCACAAAGACCCACCATAACCCCCCACCCCCCACAGAGACTAACCCTCCATCCCACCCCCACAAAGACACTAACCCCTCCATCCCACCCCCACAAAGACACTAACCCCTCCATCCCACCCCCCACACCCTCCATCCCACCCCACAAAGACACTAGCCCTCCATCCCACCCCCACAAAGACACTAACCCCCCATCCCACCCCCACAAAGAGACACTAACCCTCCCACCCCCACAAAAGACACTAACCCCTCCATCCCACCCCCCACAAAGACACTAACCCCTCCATCCCACCCCACACAAAGACACTGTTCAGTACCATTCATGTCTTCACATACCAGATCAGAGTAACTATGGTAACAATCATGGAAGCCTAGCAACTAATACAATTACTCTACAAAGTTATTAAAGAGATCATTCCTGTTAGGTCTGTGGTTGTAACAGAGAAGGGAAGACAAAAATGGACATATGGCACTGCAGATGACAGAAGACTGTACACTAGAATAAAGTCTTTGAAAAATAGATCACTGTATTGATTCCCTAATGCTATTGTGCATGTTTGTGTTGACAATCTCATTAAAACCAGATCTCTGATACGTCTCTTGGGTTAAGATCAAGAATACCCCATAGGAGGTTACCTCAGGTCAACCAAAACCAAATTTGACTGATTAATCAAAATGAATGATGCATGGGCTCTTCAGCCAATCAGATGCAAGCTTCCCCAAATGATTGTTTTGCTGTTACCACCCTGATTCTGCAATTTCCCTTTGACGGTAACTCAGAAATGACATGATGTATACAACATCCACTATAAAATGCCCAAGACTTATTTATCTACATTCAGAACTTTGAGAAGATTCAACTTGTACAAACAAGAAAGTTGTACTAAGAAGTGTAATCCCAAATATAACCTATGTTGTACGAACAAGTATTTAGGTGTCTCAGACTGCTATGCTGAGCAGTATAGCAGAGCTTAAAATCCAGTTTTAATGAGACTGACAACAGCTTCTTACAACAGAAAATCTTTCCCATAAACAGGTGTGACAGCTAAGTAAAATAATCTCAGTTGGAGAATTTGTTTGGTCTGAAATGCAATATATGACATACAATGATATTGTTGACCAAACAATGAGACATCAGTGTTAAAGGAGGACTAGGAGATGCCAAATAGACAGTCCCAGCCAAGGACGACTCATGATAACATGTATTCGATAAGGCACTGTCTGACTCACGGATTAAGTCAAATGTGAGTGTTCGATTGGCTGAACAAGCTGATGTATGTTTCGTTAATAGTGTTTTAACCAGACCATTGTTTGACTAGTCTTAACAGAATACTGTAACCTGATTGGCTAAAAGTCAAAAGGGCAGGGCTGGTGTTGCAGTCTTGTGCTGCAGGGGTAGAAATACCTTTAACATTGCTAGTGTACTCTGGTACAGTGGCACATGCAAAATCACTTGCCCTGATAATTTTCCCGCTGTACCGGCCGATTTTCTTTGGGGATTTTTAAATGAACAACATAATTAACATTGGAATGTCAACTAGACACCGGTACAGCGTGATATACATATGTGCTTGCCCGACAGAAAAAAACACTGGACTCGGACGTCGGGCAATGGGTTATTTCCACCCCTGTGCTGTGGGAACGTCATTGCATTATATACACCTCCACAAGTGGAATAAAATAATGAAGACACTTCTTAAATAATGGAAAAAATATTATGAACCTGTCAAACAGGCGACAACTGAGCTCGTTTCTTCAAGACACTTGTGAGTGAGTAAGTTTTTAGCCGCTTTTAACAATATCGCAACAATATCATGACAGGAGAGACCAGAAATGGGCTTCACACATTGTACCCATGTGGGGAATCAAACCTGGGTCTTCGACATGACGAAAAGTTTTAACTAGGGCTGGGACGGGTCCAAATTTTCTACCCGGGTACCCCACCCCCTATTACCCTACCCGGATACCCATAATGATAATTCAAATAGCAATATATTCTTCAGCTCGGAGGATAAAATTTCGAGTTTATCAATGTCTTAACTATGTATTATATTCAAAAGAAGTGACTGTAAATTATGTCTAAATTTTCAAAAACAATACAACCTTTGAATCATGAAAGAATAACATATTACATTGTTTAACCTATTAGTCGCATGATCATAACGGGTCCGGGTATTGAGACAGGTAACTAGGTCCAACTCATTACCCACCCGTCCTGGGTATCCGGGTTACCTGTCCCAGCCCTAGTTGGCTACCCACTACCTGTGTCGGACACACAAATGACAGAACTGAGTGAATTGACTTGATTTGCTAAATTAACATACACATCCTGTGGTCAGAAATGACCTTGACCTTTGTTTGACTGCACTCTTACTGCTACTCTGTTAATTCAAATAATGTGATCTTTATCGATGAAACAGTGCCAATATCTCAAGTTTAATCACAGAACAAACTTCAACACCAAGATTTCCACAGACATGGACAATAAACCATGAAGCATTATGTCCTGTTAGCTGCACAGAAAACTCACCATTTTGAGATCAATAAATCCATATTTTGAACTCAAAATCAGAACATTATCAGCTGTTGCCCTCCAGATGAGACCAAGCTCATTGAAGGCAAGAAAGAAGCATTTAGTCTAGCTCTTCACATCTGCTGAAGTATTTCAGTCATTGCGCAACGACAGAGATCGGACATTGCGTACGAACAGTTCCACTTTGAAGTGAAAGACATTGGGCAGATTTGAGTTTAGGAACTGTCAACACACACACTGTCCCTTGAGTTAAATTCATGAAGAACTTCCTTGCATAAATTTGCATAAATTAATCACCGGCCAGCAGCATGGATTAAGAGCAGACTGTGTGTGTTGTTACCATGTTTCCTATACGTTGGGTGACGGTTCGACACGATTGACCTGAAACAGCAATTGAAATCAGTATTAATAACTTGTAATTTCTTAAGAACATGATGATCACTGCTTTTAACAGTTCTTGAAATCTTAAATTACCTGTCTTGTAGTGGTGGTCCGATTAATTGAAATAATCGAAGATTGGTCGCAGTGACTAAACGACCAAGCAATCGATCATGTTTTCTCATAATCGAACACAAACAATTCTGGAACACTTGTTTTCATAAACAATATTTTTCACAAGGTTGGTTTTGTCTATTACATTTCATAAGCACTACAAGCTCGTTTCAAGTCATGATTGATTGAGTGAGTTAATGATTAACGTCACATCGGGAATATTTCAGCCATATCGTGATCGAAAGTCAAAGATTAAAGATTCCAAGAAATTTATGCTCCTGGCATACTAGTCATCCTTTAAAGAAGTGAAATTTTGCCAAAAACACCCCAAAAGAACTACATGTTTTTCCTTATATTTATGTGCATTAACAAATTTCATTAATGATGCTAACCAATTTTTTTCGATGATTGATCGGTTGTAATAAACCAATCATCAATTATGGATTTTAACAAATTCCCAACACTACTGCCTTGATTTTCATCAACATTTTACCAACCAATCACATGTCAAGATATGGCAAAAGGAAAAAAGAAAGGTAACTTGACTAAAAAGCAAAGCAAGCCACACAGATAAAGAGAAGACATTCTTTCAATCAATATATTTTGCGTGTCAGTCTGTTTCGGAAAGTTAAATTTCTTGCAAACTACAGTGTATTCAAACAGCCTGGAGGCCATGTTGTTACTATAGTAACCAAACATTAAGGCTTGTATGCTAGTAAAGTTATGATTGTCCCATTAGCATGAGAAACACAGCAAATCAAACTGGCTAACAAAAACATAATATTCAGAAATTCTGGGAACCAGGGTGCCATTGTACAAAACACCCTTAGCACCACAACTGTCATAAGTCTATGTTAAAAGTATCTGCGTTTAGATCGACTTAAAGTATTTAGAGTTTAGATCGACTTAGCGTTAGGATGGATTTGTGCAACAGCGCCCAGCGAAGGTTCATACCATAATGCAACAGCAATTACTTCACAAATTACCATGGTGACATTTTTCCAAAAATCACTATTTTTCTAGAGGTTCTCATACAACATGTTTAGCTTTTAAAATCTCTTAAGACATACCACTTCCAGTATTTTGGTTCATGTGATGAAAATCTTGATGGTTCCCATGCTGAAACTGCTGCTGAGCAAACTGCTGTGCCTGCTGAGCTGCTGTGCATGCTGAGCATGAGCATGTGCATGTGCAGTATGCGCATTGTGGAAAGCTTGATGCCGAGCAAAGTGGTCATTGGATTCTTTAGTATAATGATTATGATGAAATCCGAAACCTGAGTCCATGTCTCCGAATGTATTGAATCCAAACATGTCTTCATCATCATCAAAGAAATCATCAAAGTTGAAAAAACTGCCTCCAAATCCTCCATGTGCCTTCTGATGTTGTTGTTGATGATGATGGTGGTGACGATGATGTGCACCTTGGTGAGCTTTGAAAGCCTCATCAAAATTTTTGAAAAACTCATCAAAGTTGAAGTTAAATCCTCCTCCCCTTCCTGGTCCTCCATTTGTTTCTTCTCCAGTCTCTCCAAACATGTCATACTTCTTCCTCTTCTCTTCATCAGACAATGTTTCATAGGCTGTAAGAAAAAGAGAAACAGTAAACAATAGCATGACTGATTTGTGAAAAGGTCGAAACGTAACAAAGTGTATTTGGGATGCATTTTCTCAGTGCAGTACAGATTCTAGTACTTTGGGAGTCTAGTACTAGATGTTTTAATGGGCATTAAGCTAACTTAGAATAACTGAGGCCAAATTCCCTTCCACATGATAAATATTTAACAAGTATGACAATAGTAACAATATGAAATGTCTATATTTCAAAACAAAATACTACTAATAATAATTTACCTTGGGCAATTGTAATGAATTTTGCCTCTGCTTCTGGGTCATCCTTGTTCTTATCAGGGTGATACTTCAAAGCAAGTTTTCTGAAGGCCTTCTTTATTGCCTTTTGTGACGCATCTCGCTTGACTCCAAGAATCTCATAGTAGTCCTCCTTTCCATATGTAACGTCAAATATTACACAACTCCAAAGTGTAGACAACAGAAACAATTGGTCGCACTTCATTATGACAAACTGAAAAGAAACACAAATATTATGATCAATGGCAATAACTTCAATATTGTGATGCAAATGCACTGTAGCTCTCATAAACTGGGACCGTCCACCTGTACATATTAATCCCATAAAGATCAACATGGTGGCAGACAACTTCCTTGTCCATCACTATTAGATTTATATGCTTATTATAAATATTTCCGACTGTTTAAACTAAGGAATTTCATAAGTATTTATTTAATATAGCATATGGATGTTCCTTCAATCCTTGACACATCTTGTTACTGCTGCCACGCAAATCTGACATTTCGATGATGAAATAGGCTTTAGATGCGGTCATAGCTATCAGGCTATGATCCATGGTATTTCACTGGTTTTGCTTGTGAAGACATTCACTATCAATGTGGAACACTAAAACCTTAGACCGCTCACGTGAACGACATCAATATATCAAAACTACAATAGAAACATAATGATTCGGCGTAACATCTGAGTTTATGAGAGTAGTGTTGGTGGTCACACTGCAAGTCATGATTCGCTGTCTTGCTGCTCACGAAAGTGTTCCACATAATGACAACAATTATACATCAACAAATACGACACATACAACAACGGGAGCACTAATACCTTCTATATACTTCTTCCTAACTGTGTACTTGGGTTTCAGTGACAGTCAGTTGGCTACCAGCCTGCTTGCCCGGTTTCATACGTTTTCACTGACGTGACGAGCCCTTGTAGCTGAACGTCGCTGTCATCAGTAAAGCGGAAGTACACGACTTTCTTTCTGATTGGTTGATTTCACCCACGTGACGGTGATATCCCATCGTGCTGCAAAGAAGTAAACAAAAATGGCCGAGGATTTACTTCCGCTCATAGGGCATAACATCGGCGGTGATGATGAGAGTGAATCAGATAGCAATGAAGGTGACACAACAACACATGCATGTTGTATCACACAAGGAGACATTGACATTTCAATTTTACCACTTGTCACGACAAATGCAAGGGAAATGAGCGGCAGTGTAAACAAAGTGAACCATCACTTCTATCACGAAGTTGGTTCACCTCAACCACAGTTACTGCCCTTCATACCTCACTATATAAAAGAAAGTCATAAAATATAGTTTTCTTTGACTGACAGTCACTTTTTGTTTTTCAGAGGTTATGAAAAAGAAATCAAAGAACTGAAAATAAACTCGCGACATTATTCCACGCACTCAAATAATCAAAACGCACCTTTTTAGCAGAAACAGTAAATAAATCACTGAGTCAAGCAGATATCACATACCAGCCAAACGCCTCTGAGCCCAGATAATACTCCAAATTAGGGAACGAAGGCTGCAAGTCTAAGCAATTGACAAAAAATGCAGATCATGAATTCTCAAAGGATCATGGTTGTGTTCAAGGACAGTATCATCTGAGTATGTCAAACATTCGGAAGCATTGTTTTTAAACAATAGCAAACAACCCCAAATCATATAGGCACTGCTTTCCTTAATACACGGAAAACATGAGGCTACCACACTGACAGTGCAGGCTTATCTTGTAACTTTCCTTGTGTTTGTGCACAAACACATATATATTCAGAAAATAACAGTGTAGAAGGGCAAAATGCATGTCTTTCGGTGCACTTTACATTTTGTTTTCCATAATTACAAAGATGTGCTACTACAACTACAAGAGTTAGGTGGATGATAAAATAGCTTTTCACATGAAAGTGACCATATTGCAAATTATCTGCAGTGCTTCCATGACCACCATTAGGATAAGTATGTGATAAGTTTTCTGATTTTAGGATATTTTCTCAAAGAAAGTTAAACATTTCATGACATGTTATCTAAACGTGTAGACTCATCCAAAATGAAATTGATAAAACTCAAGAATGGAGAGTGTAGGATGTAATAATGTCATTAGTTTTGTATGACTGAGGCATATCTGTTTTGTAATCCAGGCTTTGATAAACACTGGCTTCTCATGTAATTAAACTGGTCATTTGGATTTTGTAACTTATCCTTGAGAAAAACACAAGCTTTCTCTTTAGTTTGCCTCTGGTGTCCCAAACCGTGATGTTGCTGGAATATTGCTAAAAGCGGCGTAAAACCAAACTCAGTCAGTCTAATAAAAAGCAAGACCGAGGATAGTTGCGTGATCTCTAGTAATTGAAATTTCAATCCCATGTGACTTGGAAATTATTTCGTGCATGATTTAAAGTAACACAGAACTGTTGACATACTCCATCAGAAATATTATGCTTGAGTTGTCAGATCAGGAGCTACTCTGTTTACAAAAGACACAGCAGCAGCCATTCCTAACCTTACCAGGCAATGTTCTCTCTTAACATCATATTCATAATGTTTCCAAACATAACTACCATGTTATCAGGAAACATCACATTCATACAAAGCTGGGGATGTGGGTGGCCCATTTGTCTAAGGTGCTGCAGTTCGTGGAATCTTATGAAATAGATAACCCTAAATATTAGCTTGATTGTATACTATACATGTAGTTCATTGTGGATTAACCTGTGAAGGTCCGGGTTAGAATATTGATCTTCAGTAACCCATGTTTTTTGTAAGAGGCGACTAACAGGATTGAGTGGTCAGGCTGCTGACTTGGTCGACACATGTCATCGGTTCCCAATTGCGCAGATCGATGTTCATGCTGTTAATCACTGGATTGTCTGGTCAAGACTGGATTATTTACAGACCGCCGCCGTATAGCTGGAATATTGCTGAGTGGCGTAAAACTAAGCTCACTCACTCACTCATTGTGGATTAGTCATTCACCAAACATTTTGGCTTAATCATGTTGATCATACATCACTCAGTGAGGCTTAATCGTACATTAATCATTCTTGTTTAGTCATTCTTTAGGCAATAGAGCTTAATCCTTCACTTAATATTCTGGGTTAATCCTACACAACACATTCCATTGTAATACTGCTCTATTCACACTGGCTTAGTCCTATACCACTTCTTCTGCAGTGTATTCAGGCTTAATCCAACACCATACATTTTGCTTCTTGGTCATTAACCATACTCTTCTTTGTCTTTGATGTAGAGGACATGAAATATGTAGAGGACTGTTGTATAATCTCCAGTAATTTCTTCCTGCTTTTGTAGAGGACATAATCTCTGTTGTATAATCTCTTTATCTTTCTGACTTGGTTGACACATGTCATCGTATCCCAATTGCATAGATAGATGCTCATGCTGTTGATCACTGGATTGTCTGGTCCAGACTCGATTATTTACAGACCACCACCATACAGCTGGAATATTGCTGAGTGCGGCGTAAAACTAAACTCACTCACTCTTTGTCTTTCTTCCTTCTGTTGTAGAGGAGGACATCGCAGTTGAGACGGAAGAGTCCGTGGAAGACGATGAAAATAGCAACAACTCCAAAAAGAAGAATAAGAAGGACGGTGACAAAATGAGAATGGTCAACTTTGATAAATCCCTGCCTACAGCTCATACAGTAAGTAGCATTTGAACACACGTCAGAGAGGCCTTGTGTAACACACCATCAAGGGATGATCCATAACATGACCGATGAACAGGAAGAGGCTTTTATGCTTAGTTATGCTCTTATATATTCAATGCAATGTTGAAATGCCTCTGAATTTTAAAAAATGCAATCTTATTCAGAGCTCCAGATAAGATTTAGCTCATGTGGGTATTGTACCCACTGTAATTTTTTGGAGTGGGTATTATGAATGTTGAACTATTTCATTTTCAGTTATCCACTGCTTTCAAATATGTGCATATTTCAGTCACTTTACTCACCTAAGTATTATGTCATTGAGTAAGTTTACTAAGCAGGTATGTCCTGCCTTATATCATACCTAATCAAAACCAACTTAAATAAAATGGAAATGATTTCATAAAAAAATCACTTATCCAATACTGACAGTACAACTTGATAGCAATCGATGTCTTTTTCATTAGGCAAGCGATTTTTATAAATCTATTCCATATGCATTTGTTTTAAACTTTTTGCGTATCTAACATTTTAAATGCGTAATTGGTACTCAACAATTATTTTTCAATGCGTAATTGGAAATTTTCTATGCATATTTTACCCGGATATGCATCTTATCTGGGCCTCTGCTTATTAAAAAATATGAACTAAAAGTATTTCTTTCCTTGAATTCAAGCCCACAGTCCTAGGTTTCTGATGTTGCACAGTAAATTATGACGTCTTGTTTGTTTCTTATTTTTTGCCGCATTGCAGCAATTTCCAGCTATATGACGGTAGTCTGTAAATAACTGAATCAGAACCAGACAATCAAGTGATCAACATCATGATCATCGATCTACATAATTAGGTTACAATGACATGTGTCAACCAAGTCAGCGAGCCTGACCACCTGATCCCGTTAGTCACCTCTTGCGACAAGCATGGGTTGCTGAAGATCAATTCTAACCTGGATCTTCAAGGGTGATCTTAGACGAGTGGGCTACAGACACACCTCAAGGTTTTTGGTGTTATTATGCATCACCACTATTCAGATCTTTGAACATTTTAACTTAATGTCTATCTTGTCTAGTGTTGAAATTGTTCTGCTGTTTTGCAGTACCTAGGCACAGACTTAGAGGATGTTCGTGGTCGTACCATCCATGACGATGACTCGTGCGTGACGATCCCCCTCCTGGCTCTGCCTGGGGTGGTGCTGGTTCCTGGCCAGACAATCCCCCTTCATCTCTTCCAGCATCACATGGTTGCCATGATAAAGGATGTGGCAGAGAAGGACAAGACCTTCGGAGTCATCACGTTCAGGTGAGAATTGGAATGAGTCTTTGTATAAGTGGTATGATGGCAAAAAGGTTAGGGTTCCCAAAACTCATCAAAACTGTGTGCTGTTGTAAATTCAAATGTAATTTAGGCGAGTTATTTTGTCTGACAACGTCAAAGTTGGTGAACAAACAAGAACCACACAATGTTGACTTCCACTAAGATAGACTTAGGACAAGTCACAACGTATCCTAGTATTTGTCCTAAGTTAGGATATCCTAGCACTAGGATACTTTTCGAGAATAAGGTAGGACACCTATCCTAGACCCTAGGATCAAAGTTAGGATATCCTAGCGTTAGGATCGTTTCAAGAATCGGGCCCTGGCTACTGGGAGCAAACACACACACACAACCAAATAGAACAATTCTGATTTTTTATTACATGGTGTAGCATGAGTCAATCAGTGTTTATGTTTTTGATGTCATTTCACAGGGCTCACACACGTCAGGGAAAAGCCAGGGAATTTTTATATGTTTTCAAAAGTCAGGGAATAGTCAGAGAATTTGGGGTTTAAGACAGGGGAATTTAGAGTTGTGGCTAGGAAAATTAAGACTCAGAATGTTGCTAATCAGCATGGTAGTATGATGGCGATGGTGGTTTTCTTGCAAATTGTGAATGCCCATTTTGGTCAGACTTACCCAATATAAGTTTCATTGTTCAAGTACAGTATATATAAATAGAACGTCATACTAGTGCATTTGGATGTTTTGTATTGAACTAGTATGACGTTCTATATTTATTATTTACCCTCTTATCTTGCATTAATCTGTTACTTAATAAAACAAATCATAGTGTAGCAATACATATTTTCACGCTTTTCGATACTTCCGCATTCAGGTTAGTTTGACATTAAGTATTACTCCGCATGTAAGCGGATCACACAACTGACCTAGGTCATACATTGCTCCTCATATCGTCATGAATCAAGTCCCACTTTCACAACTTACCATAGGCAAAATAATGACACTATTCTAATGAAATTCATTCATATTTTAATATGTACAAACTTGTATGAAGGAACGACACAAGCTATTCGACTTTTAAATCGATCTGTCCAGCAATAAACATTTGATAAAGTTCAAGGTACGGAAATTCCCGGAAAGTGACGAGCTTTGGAGAAAGTAGAACCACCAGGGGTTCAATCACACTCCGGCGCATTGATGACTTAGCATAACATCACTGCCACAGGCTAATTTGCATATCACGTGACCTGAATTTTCTTTTGTTTGTAAACAAACGCACATATTCGTAATAAGAAGAGACTGGCCTTACTTAAGCTTTTCAGCGCGCTCTTCACAATGTTTTACATTGTTACATATATATTCTTCCACAACTGAGACAGTAAGGTTTATGACAGTACATATTTAGATATCAAATTGGCAGCGTCGTTTGCTCATCGGCTTCGATGACAGCACATGAAGCCGTACAACCTATGTAAACAAAGGATCGCTACGCAAATCGAAATAGTGTTTCATGTTTTAGGATATTTTCTCAGTGAAACTAAACCATTCTATCAAAGATGTTTAATTAGATGTGTAGACTTGTCAAAAGTAAAAGAGTTACGAATTATGTACATTATATTGAATGGACGGTGCAAGATGTGACGAATCGTCACATCTTTCTGGCCTGTGGCAGAGGTACTATGCTGGCTGGCCGCATTGAACTCTGGGTAGGAGAGTGGGGTTCAATGCGCAATCTGGGGTGCAATACGGAAATTGACGACCTGTATTACTATCCTAAGTTTACATGGGTATATAATAAAGGTTTATATAATATTGTATTCGAAGCCTTTTTCTTTGCATCATATTTGCTGCATTTGGTGTGCAATGTACTATATGTTCATGTAACAGTTGTTGAAAAAAAAGTTTGTTGAGAAAAGGTTACTTTGAATTCAAAATACATAGTGTAAATTCTCAAAATTGATAGTGGTTGAATGGTGTTCATAATCTAGTTGTCATGGTTGTACTGAATGTAAAGTTACATCTTGCATGTTTATTCTTTTCAAATACGCCGCCTTTGATAATTATAAGATGAATTTGTGTTAATGAAGAAATGTGTTCTTGACTTTGAATGAACAATTCAATTAAATCATTACTTTCACATTTACTGACATTGCCTTAGAATACAATGCTGTCCGGTAATTCCACGCACCTAAGCACATCGATCGCAACACGGCAACTAACGTCTCTTATTTTTTGTGGTTTACGTGACTAAACATGCTTGTATGCATCATATTTACCTAAAAATATAAGTTTTATTGACGACTATAAGATTCTAACGTTGCATTATGCCATACGGTTGACCTTACCGGCGTTCTAACGACATCACTTGTTGTCCGGTAATACTGCGCAGCAACTGATGCGCATAACATCCAGCTGGAGATCCGAAGTATGGAAGCGTATTAGGGCCAGATTATTTTCAAAAATCACTTCATCAATGTAAGGAAGAGTGTTTCATATTAAATCCAATTATGAATAATGATGAAAAAGGTTTAAAAGTCTGAAGAAAACGAATTTTCATAAAACTGTCAATTTATCTGTCAATTACTGTTATTTACCTACTTTTAGTGATTAAAAGCCAGTCCCTTGTAGAAATGTGCCGATTTCAAGCGTAAATGTAGCAGACGATGTTTACCTTCGATACGGAAGTATGCTATTGCAGCTGCGCAGAATTACCGGACGCGTGGAATTACCGGACTTGCTTGTATATATATTTGATAGTCTCGTTACAAATAGTAATGTTTTGCTTTATGTAATTAATAAACAAAACGATTATGTATTTATGATATGTGTGAAGAAAATATCTTAAAAGGGTGGTAAGGCCTGACTGAAGGGGAGGAAGGAGTCCATTTTTCACACTTAAATGGTCAGGGAAAAATCTATACTTGTCAGGGAAAAGTCAGGGAATTTTGGTCTGCCATGCCTGTAGGAACCCTGTTTCAGATTTTGGTCTCTTTGAAGTCAGATCTTTTTGCTTGCTACTACTTTACAAAAATCTGAGGACATCTCATCACAGGGAACATCAGAACAAGTATTTCTTTTACCAATCATTTAAGATGGAATGACTTTCCATTGCCCATTGGAAGTACTGCCATACATTCTGGGCTACATAGAAGATCATTGCTTTTGTTCAGTTAACAGTTTTGTATTTTTAAACTTTGTCAAAATATTTTTCAAACCTAGTCTGAAATGGTTGCAGACCGCCACCATATAGCTGTAATATTGCTGAGTGCAGCATAAAACTAAACTCACTCACTCATTGAAATGGTTGCCAGTTTGAAACTGGTGCCGTAAAGCTCTAGCAAACTGCTTTCTGATTGGCCGATGTCAACTTCCTGTTACTCATTTGTTTTGTCAAAATTCTTGAAAGGCCATTTGATATGACCAATAATCAGATATCCTCAGGGTTTTGTAAACGGAAGCAAGCGCGAACATCTGACATACATACATACATACATACATACATACATACATACATACATACATACATACATACATACATACATACATACATACATACATACATACATACATACATACATACATACATACATACATACATACATACATACATACATACATACATACATACATACATACATACACGCTTTGTTTTCGCGCGATCATTGGATGTCCATCACAATGGCACATCATATTTTCAATCTCAACTCCCTGGGGATCATACAACTCTTGCTGCCTTCTAGGCGCACCGAGTTAATGTGTGCTTTTCCATCCTTACGAGGTACCCATTCACAGCTGGGTGGACTGGGACACGTAGTCACAGTATTTTGTCCAAGTTTACTGCACATTGCTCTACCCGTAACTAGGTGTTTGCACGTATTCATGTGGCCACCATCTGGTCATCTACCAACAGATTCATGGGTTCTTTTAAGTGTACAGAGTTGTGTACTGTACACTAGGGGTTGTGACAACACTGAAAGAGTCTGCACACAAAGTTGACTCCAAGGTTTTTTTACACCCGGTCACAGGTGGGCTCGATCCCAGCACCTCCAAGCTCGCTAGATTACTAGCCTGGTGCCTTAGACAGCTCGCCCACCATGCCCCCGCTTTTGTGACATTGTTGTTGTTTCAAATTTTTCTGTTTTTTACAGGTATCAATCTGAACACACCCCAACTCTTTCAAATCTCGGAACTACGGCAGAGATATTCTCCATCAAGGATGAAACTGATGATATATCTGGCATCTCCACTGTAAGGGTCAAGGCCAAAGGTCGTCAGAGATTCGAGGTCATTGACACACGCAGAGAAGTTACAGGGTAGACAATTTTATTTGTATCATGGTGTTGACATATCTGTTTCTTGAAGTGGAAATCATGATTTGCTTTTCTCATGCCATATTTATTGTTTATAGTATTGATCTATATCCTTTAAAGATGGGGGCGGTGGGTAGCCTAATGGTTAAAAGCGTTGCTTTTCAAGAAGCGGTTCGATTCCCCACATGGGCACAATGTGTGAAGCCCTTTTCTGGTGTCCCCCGCCGTGATGTTGCTGGAATATTGCTAAAAGCGGCGTAAAACCAAACTCAGTCAGTCAGTCCTTTAAAGATGATACTTGAAATGCTATTTACTTTCAAATCCCACTAAAATTTCTTTTACATTGATCACTTAAGGTTTCTTTCTGTCTGCATAAACTCTACTGCTGTCTAATATTATTTAGCTTGGAATTTTATTCAAAAGGGAAACTAGTTAACTTCCTTGTAGAAAGGAGAAAGTTTAAATTATACTTAAATTTCCAATATTTATGAATTTTGAATTAACATGATCAACAAATAAATACATGTCCAAGAGCTGTTATGAAATTATGTCATGGCACATGAAACTGAGGCTCCATATCATTACAAACGATGCATATCTAATTATTTTCTGTGTAATGATGACCCGTGAAGGTCCTGGTTAGAATTGATCTTCAGTAACCCATGCTTGTTGTGAGAGGCGATTAACGGGATTGGGTTGTCAGGCTCACTGACTTGGTTGACACATGTCATGTATCCCAATTGCGTAGATTGATGCTCATGCTGTTGATCACTGGATTCTCGGGTCCAGACTCGATTCCTCACAAATCGCCACCATATGGCTGGAATATTGCTGAGTGTGGCGTAAAACTAAACTCACTCACTCACTCTGTGTAATGACAATTGATTTCAGCATTTTGGTTAATAATATCTCGTTTGTGCATTTTTGCAGTTTATATTTTTTGACAGAGTCCTGGCAGGGAAGGTTCGCATCCTGCCCGAGTGTTTGCTCACGGACAGTCTGGGTGGGGCACGGCCACGGTCTCTCTGCAAGTTTTGCTGCAACCCTGCAGACCAAGACTCGGTGGTCAAGACTGCTGTGGACAGACAAGGCAATGTGCTAGCTTCGGTCAGCATGGTGAATAACCTACAGGTAAGCATGCAGGAGTTGTCTCCCTTGTGAAAATATCCTCCTACTGCTCACAGAGTCTGTACCAATTTTTCATAAGTTTAAAACATTTTGTTATGGAAATAATCCATTTGTATGGTGCATCTTTCATGCTGAATTTTATGCTGAAAGTGTATTATTATTCCTGGTCAGATGATCAGTGTGCATTACAAAAACACTAATGTATTTCTGGGAATAACTATATGTAAAGTTAGAAGAGCCCTGTCTCATTTTAGATGTCATTAGCCGAATCTTTTCAAGAATCTGGGAGGTATATGGAATTACAAGAAAAGAGAATCTGCCAGTTCTGCTCAAATGATTTTATAGAAAATGAAATTAATTTTCTATTTGTATGTCCGAAATATTCATCACTTAGTTATCGTCATGTACCAAACATTATTCATCTGTTGATAGATTTATGAGACCACAGTCTACTGCTATCTCTAACATCAGTGTATGAAATAAGCCCAAACCTCAGGCAGACATGAGGGCTGGTAACATTTTGGATGTAACCAGATGGATGTAACCAGACCAGACACCAAGATATGACTCAGATGTATGGAACATCTAAATTTTTACCAGACCATCGGGCTGGCTAGCTGTAAATCAAGACCATCCGTCTGAAATCTAACCCGTCTCGGCCAGTCGGACGTGCCTTATTTCATACACTGCTAACATAGCTAAAAATGTGGCAATGTTTATTTATCATGCTAATCATCAGTTAGGACAAATGTAAATTGTTCATATCAGACAATTGTACTTTGTATTGTGGTCATAGGCTGATGGCCTAAAACCGAAATAAAGAATAAAGATTTGTGTAGTTCAGAGTTAACATGGTGATCTCCGGCTATTATTGTATGGAGTCAGAACGTAAGTTATTTGAGTTCAAATTATTGTAATTTTTATTTCATCTCCAGAAGTATAAGTTAAGAGTTCACTGTATCCACAGTTTTGTATGAGTGTTCATTAGTTTTTGAATGTTTATTAACTGTTTTTGAATTTTTGCATTATTTTGTTTTCAGGTGAACAAGTTCAGCTGTGCCAACTTTACTTGGTGGCCACCCTGGGTGTACAAGATGTATGACGCAGTGAGTTTTATTTTCACTTGGTGAATTAAGTTCTTTTATTTGATAAATGTAAGTAAGATCTCAGCTCATACTTTTCAAGGTGTATTGGGAAGAATTCTTACGGTTTTAGCATCGGTAAATCAGCTAATATCACTAAGAGAAAATGATGGGTATTATTAGATTTCACCTCTCCCGGTCAGAAAATATTTATGTTTTACCTTACCTGACACTACACCTTTAAACACTGTCAGTAAGTATAAAAACATTGTATTTATAAAAAATTGGCCAATTGCCTTTTCAATTTTATATAATGTCTGTGGTAATACACCTTATTGAAGCCTTGTTAATCTGAATCCTCTGGATGTATGAATAACTCCAATATGGTCATGTGTCTTAGTGCCCAGTGTCAGTGGGGTAGCCTAATGGTTAAAGCGTTGGCTCGTCACGCCGAAGACCCGGGTTCGAATCCTCACATGGGCACAATGTGTGAAGCCCATTTCTGGTGTCCCCTGCCATGATGTTGCTGGAATATTGCTAAAAGCGGCGTAAAACCAAACTCAGTCAGTCAGTCAGTCAGTCTTAGTGCCCAGTGATAAACTTGGTGTGTTAGTTGTTACATTGGTAAATCTTTTCTTTCAGAAACACAGACAACAACATATGAGTCCTTTAGTTTGTCTTGTTTGTGTAGGATGACTTCCTTCTATTGAATCAATGTACCGTGCTTGTCAAATGTATAGACATTGAAGTTATAAAATAGATCAATTTGTCTTCCTTGAACCCATAGTAGTGAGGGTCTGGGTTAGAACTGGTGCTCTGCAACCCATGTTTGTCATAAGAGGCAACTAATGTGGTGAAGTGGTTAGTAGGGCTGGGACGGGTCCAAATTTTCTACCCGGGTACCCCACCCCCTACAACTTCGAGTTTTTCAATATCTTAACGATGTATTATATTCAAAACAGGTGACTGTAAATTATGTCTAAATCTTCAAAAACAATACAACCTTTTAATCATGAAAGAATAACATATTATATTGTTCGATCTATTAGTCACATGATCATAACGGGTCCAGGTATTGAGACGGGTACCCGAGTCCAAATGATTACCCACTCGTCCCAGGTATCCGGGCTACCCGTCACAGCCCTAGTGGTCAGGCTTGCTGACTTGATTGATCCCAGTTGTGCAGATCAATGATCACGATGTCCCTCACTGGACTGTCTAGTCCAGGTTCTCTTGAACATTGCTAACAACAGGACCGCCTCCGTGGTGTAGTGGTTAGAGCGTCCGCCCGGAGAGCGGAAGGTCGCGGGTTCGATCCCCGACCGCGTCTATAAAAAAAACGTTAAGATATGGTACTTGTTGGATCCTGCCTGGCATTAATGGGTACAACAAGGACTGGTCGGCTCGGAGTCAGTATAATGTGTCTGAGTGGGGTAATCATGCTTCACTGCGGCATGGTATCTCAGTGGGCTAGCATTATAAAACCAGCTTAAGTCTGGGCTAGTACAAGCAGCCGCACATACACATACACACGCATGCACGTCGTCATATGAGCGAAATAATCTCAAGCACGACGTAAAACCCAATTTCACCTCACCTCACCTGCTAACAACAGACAAACAAACAGAAAACAAGCTTCTCCAAAGTTCAGAAACTTGTGTATTCATCTCCTAGACACAGCATCAAGATCATATGAATGTCAAAAGAAGTTTCCACTGTAACTTTTGTCCGACAGAAAGACTTGTCTGAGAAGATCCTGCGTGAGCTGCAGAGCTGGAACGAGGCATTGCGGATGTCAGTATTCCCGCAGGACCCTACGGAGCTGTCCTACTGGGTGGCCCAGAACCTCCCCCTTGACGACAGCATGCGCCTGCATCTGCTTGGCCTCAACTCCGCTGTGCAGAGACTTCGGTGTGAGCTCAGCATCATTCAGAAGGTCAGGATCTTGTTTCAAACAGCTCGGCATTGTCTGATTGTTTCATTGTCTCTTCTAGCATTTCTTTATTTTTAAACAGTCCGTGCTTTCTGCCTTCTGCATAGCCTTTCAATTAACAGCAATTAGCAGGAGAATGATGTAGTCTGTTTCACAGTCCCTGAACCTCATTATTTTCTCTACTGCTTAGCCTTCCTGCAATGATAAAGCCTTAAATGAAGCAAGTCTAGATTTCCTCAGATTCAGTATTTCCCATCTCACTTTAGCTCCTTTTCAATTTGAATGGGATTATTTCTTACTTTCAAAATTATATATTCAGAGATTAAGCATTAGTCTAGTGAAAGATGGAGTAAGAAACTTACTTTGAAACACCTTGTTTCTCAAAATAGAAGTTGACATCCATAAATTCATTCCCTTAAAAACTAAATAGTGGAGAAAAATATCTAAACAGAAAATTTCTTATTTTTCCTTATCCTGACTCATGCTCTTTTGCTTGTCTTCTTCTTCTTGCGAACATAGTGGAACACTTGTATCTCCTTATTTGAAGCTCCCTTCAAAATAAAATCACTAATTGGTACTCACCACGAGTTGCTCCCCTTTGTCTCCCCTGGCGGGAAAGGTGTCGCCACCCTCTGGCCATGTGCTTCACTCTCTCCTTCTTCGCCCAGTGAGCAGGATGTGAGAGCGCCTTGTGTCTCCTTACACACCATATCCTTTGATAATCTCTTAGTTTTTACCTCTCATAGGTTACTATAGAGGTATAGCTAGTATCCTTTACTATTTGTATTGATTAATTATCGTATTTCTACTGTTTATTCACGGTATTCGTGATTGTTCAGCTAGCTTTACGCTGATGAAAATCTGTACGATTTGTAGATTACGCTTTTCTGCCTCCGATCCACATGTAATATGCCCTAGTTGTTCTACGCCGCGTGCGTTTAATTCACGTTGCAGTTACTGCATTAATTTATCTCATTCTGCATTTAATAAATATCATCTTTGCGCCTTAAGACGCTGCAGATAGATCACGCAAACAAGGCAAAACATGGCAGAGAGTCCAGATATTCCATCCAGTCAGCTGCTAGCGATCGACCCTCTCCCGCCTGGTGTTCTGCTAGAGACCCCCGCGGCAGAGGAACGTGGGACGCAGTCCGTTACTCGAAGAAACGACCGCCTCCCCAGACATCCCGGCCATTGCAGACCAAGTCTAAGAGGGCCTCATCGCCGCCTCAACGCAGATTGAGGACACTCCAGGGCAGCGCAGACTTCCAAAGGGAAATCTACGAAGACAGCAAGAACTTTCAGCCGAGATCGCTCCAGCAGCAGAATTGGGCCTCTACGATGATCAGCCGATAATCATCCCCGACTTACGGCAGAAGAAGCGACCGGTGTCAGCGACTGTGACTTCTGCAGAGATCACCATGCAGCCTGATGCTCTACACCGACGCCAGACGCCATTGATGTGAACCCCATCGCAGAAAAGACGCCCGACGACTTCGCTCACAGATCATCCCAGAAGACATGATGCGGCAGTTTATGAACATCATGGAGGACCACTACAAACTGCGCAAAGCAGGGTCCGAGCCTTCATGCGAAGGCTCCAACGTAGACAGCACCCCAGAGGCACCCCCCGTCAACGTAGCAGCCAAGACGATGTCACCTTCGCAGCCAAGACGTGAAGGAAGTCCCGCACCACCTTGACGAAGGACCTAGATGTACAGCCTTCGCGAAGGCGGGAGATGATCATCACCATCTTCGATTTCATCTCTAGATATGGACTCAGACCATCAGACATCACGGAAGCCTTCGCGAAGGTCATATCATCGATCCCCCGGACCGGACGCAAATGAAGCTTCGCGAAGGCATTCGCGAAGGACATATGATTCCAGATCCTCATCATCTAGAAGAACATCGAGGGACTGCCGAAGAGCTTCGCGTAGCTATCAACATTCATCACCAGGCCGATCACCCGTCAGATCTCCACATAGAGCGACGCACAAGTCAACTAGATCGCCACAAACCTCATCAGATATACAGACAGCTACACGCAGTCCCGAAGAGCATCTACAATTTGTTAATGATGATGGTTTTGAGGATGATGGAGGAATCATATTTTCTGATGCAGAGATACGGTATTGGATGGTCAATAACCTAGATCTCACATCACCATCTAAAAGTGGCAATACAGCTCAGACGTATTTGATGAAGGAAGATGATCCAGATGCAATCACTCTACCCCCGATCGACCCGATTGAGGCAGTGCCACAGAATCTAGATGCAGCTTTCCAGAAAGCTACTTAAAGTTCAGATACCACATCTGCCCAACTTTCAAGCCAAGAAGTTCTCCACGATAACATGGACTCCTTCTACAAGGCCCAGGACATCGATGAGAACTATAAGATCATCAGCCATGTAAAGAACAAGATTTACAAGATGGATGATCGCAAGTTGGCTCATATAGAAACCATGACGCAGACGATGTTCTTTGGGTTAAATAGATCTAGGACGCATCAATGAGACTCTTATTACTAGATTCCGGATTCCATGACGGAAGATGATAGAATGATTTATTCTGCCTTACTTATGCAAAAAGAAAGATCAGCAGTTTTAACGGATCATCTTACATCTGTTTCAGCAGCATTGACCTTAGCTCGTCGTCAAGGCCTCCTCAGCTCCTGTAATTGGGGAGAACTTTACAGCCCCACTTTATACAGCCCTGGTCGACAACATCCATCTTTGACGGAGAAATCGACAAAGTCGCCAAGGAAGTCTCTAAGGATTCCAGGGAAGTCCTTATGATTAGATCGATGGACACACTAGCCAGCGCCATTCGTCAGACTTCACAAAGATACTCAGGCAGATCTAAGTTCACGGGCCTACAAAGAGCAAGAGACAGGAAGATAGCCAGCTCTAGAGGTAAGGATTCTTTTCGTCGCCCATATGGCAACTATAGAGGAGGATCAGGAAGAGGCAGGACACCCAGAGGTTCCCGCAATTATAGACGCTGAAACACAGGTTCGAACGACTGGAGTCTTCCACCCCAGCCGCTCCAGTACAGCCAGCTCAAGTGGGTGGACTTCCAACTACACTGGGAAAACTGGGGAATATTGCAAGACCCTTACGCCTCCAACATTCTTCAACACGGATTTCAGATCCTCTACAGGCCAAGCCTCCGGGACAATCAAACCCCCAAGTTCGACATTTACAAGTTTAACAACTACCAAAGATAAGAGAGGCTGTTTCATCACTCCTATCCAAACAGGCCATAGAAGTAATAGATCAAGCAAACGCCGAACCAGGTTTCTACTCCCCAGTTTTCCTAGTTCCCAAGAAAACTCCACGGAGAAATACAGACTCATCTACAACATGAGCTTTTCAACAAGAACTATCTACGCGAAACCAACCGGGTTTCGCATGATGATACATTTACCCTCAGTTACGCCAGATGATTCGTCCTATGGACTACATGGGCAGCATAGATCTACAGGATGCCTACCTGCACATCCCCATTCATCCCGATTCCAGGAAATACCTACGATTTACTCTAGAAGGGCTACATTACCAGTGGAAAGTAATTCCATTCGAATATCATCAGCCCCTGGCTATTCACGAGGATAACGAAACCGATTATCAAATTTCTACATCGCCAAGGGCTACGAGCGCTTTACCTCGACGACGGGATACAAGTAGATCAAGATCCACTGCGCGCCTCAAACTACAGTTAAATTACATCATAAAGCTACTAACACAACTAGGTTGGTTAGTAAACTTACGCTAAGTCGGACCTAGTACCATCGCAAGACCTGCAGTTCCTAGGTATTCGATTCATCACAAATCGCAACCGTATTATGGTACCAGAAGACCGTTGGCTCAAGATACAGCAGACCATTCCACCAGCTCTACTCTCTCCGCTACCACTGCGACAATGGCAGAGCCTACTAGGTCTTCTCACATCAGCCCAAGACATGACTGTCACAGGCAGATTACAGTTACGCCCCCTACAGGTCCTCATCAACGACATCTCAACGATGTACAACCATTCAGTCTAACAAACATCTCAGACCACATCTACTATGGTGGACCAAGAAATCGAATGTTCTGCGAAGGGATTTGTTTAGCAGAGCAGGAATACAAAACCCATCTGTATGTAGACGCTGCCACTCCAAGGTTGGGGAGCTCATCTCACCAACCACACGATATCAGGGTTATGGAATCAGCAAGAATGCAAACTCCATATAAACAGTCTAGAAATGAAAGCTGTAATCAACGCCATTCTACATTGGAGCACATTTCTACAAAATGCTACTTAATGATCCATACAGACAATTCGACAGTGGCGTTTACATAAAAACAAGCAAGGCTCAACGAGATCGATGAACCTTTTGAACCTAAGCTTTCAACTGTTCGATTTAATACAAGATCTAAATCTACATGTCAGAGCAGTGCACATTCCCGAGCCAGAAATATACTAGCAGACGCCTCTCTCGGCCTCATCTACCATCACCGACAGAGTGGATGATCAACAGGGAAATTTTTGCACAGATAATCAAGCAATTAGGAGCCGCTAATAGACCTATTCGCCACGCCGATTCAACAATCAGCTACCGACATTCGTGGTCACCAGTCCCAGACCCCAAGCTTGGGCAACGGACGCTTCTAAGTCTATCATGGAAGGCCTCAATGCGCACGCTGCTTCCTCCGCCAGCAATAATACCTCAAGTATTACAGAAAATCAGACAAACACAGAGCCTGGCATAACTCACTTTGGTCGCACTCTACTGGTCGGCCAGAACGTGGTTTCCCATACTAATTCAAGAAATCGGTCAACCAACACTGGAGCTACCCAAGCGCCAAGCAAACCTGTTAATTCATCCTCACACCAAACAAGTGCACGGAAACCCAGCAATGTTCCAACTACACGATGGACTGTATACAAATGTGTTTAAACAAGAGAGGATATTCTGCCAGGGCTGCAAAAGCAGTCACGCTTTGCCTTACGCTACTCAACTCGTGAACTTGTACGACGACAAGTGGCACAGTTTCAAAATTATGCAACAAAGAAAGGGTTTACAGCAAGAGAGGCTTCACAACCTCAAGTGGCAGACTATTTGTGTTACCTACGCCAAAACAAACATTTAAAAGGTTCAACGATATCAACATATCTTGCCGCTTTAGTTCTGTAATCACCATGAGAACGGGTGTCAAATTGACAAGATCTCCAGAGTTACTGGCCTTACTACGAAGCTCCGATTGAGGACCAAAAGCGAAGTTCCACTTCCAGCTTGGGATCTGAATGTAGTGTTACAACACCTCACGAAAGTGAGGTCTATGAACCTTTGAATCGACAAACTTTGAATTTCTCTCACAGAAAACACTGTTTCTGCTATCGCTAGCCACAGCAGCAAGAATGTCTGAAATTCACGCCTGGATTACGAGAGGATACAGTTTGATGACAATCATAACACAGCGCACCTCGGATTAAGATGGGATTTCATCAAGAAAAATCAACTGCCAGGTCAACCAGACAGATTATTCCACATCCCGGCGCTTATCCTCTATTCTCGATCACAAGATACACAAGACCTATCACTGTGTCCGTAAGAGCCAAAGTTTATTTTTACGACGATCCAAAACAAGGAGAAGATTTCTCAAACGCTTATTCATCCCCTTATCGCCTACTTAATCAAACAGAAGTGTCACGGACCACAATATCTATTTGATAAGGACTGTCATTCTCCTGCGGCCTACAAGGCAGCAGGCTTGGACCCACCAACAGCATCAAATCCACATGAGATCAGGGCACTGGCCTCTACCCTCGCCTCTACACGTAACTGTTCCTTGAACACGATTATGGAAGGATGCTATTGGAAATCTAACATGGTATTTGCTAATCACTACCTAAGAGACATCACTACAGAAGATGTCTCTGGCATTCACCATTTCGACCACTGGTCCTCGCCAGCAACTGACAGTCCCTCAGAGGGCTTAAAATATTATCCTCACAAGATTAATATGTATTTTATACATACTCATCTAGCTTATAACTCTAATGGAGTTTTAGGGCTATGTATATATGTTCAGCTTAAGTATTCAACCTTAAGCATATACTTTGGTATAGTCAATTTCAGTGCCTCTATCAGAGTCACCTATATATATATATATAATTTATATGTATTGTTCAATATATTCATAATGTAATTCCCCTTTAATGGCTTTATATAACCTATGGTTTTCTTTATACAGGAAACATCCTAAATCTAAGCCTTCATGAAGTTCCCGTAGGGGATATTACAGTATATCTATACAAAATCACTAATTATAAATCCAAAGTATTCTGTTACCCACCTCCGTTCCGTAGGATGCTACAAGCAAAAGAGCATGAGTCAGGATAAGGAAAAATATGTAATTTTTAGAGTAAAATTGATATTTTATACTTATCCTGACTCATGAGGTTAGCCCTCCCATCCTCCCCACATAACACTTTGGATTTCCCTGTAAATTCAAGTGTTGGGCTCGCTAAATCAGGAGAGAGTGGAGCACATGGCCAGAGGGTGGCGACACCTTTCCCGCCAGGGGAGACAAAGGGGAGCAACTCGTGGTGAGTACCAATTAGTGATTTTATTTTGAAGGGAGCTTCAAATAAGGAGATACAAGTGTTCCACTATGTTCGCAAGAAGAAGAAGACAAGCAAAAGAGCATGAGTCAGGATAAGTATAAAATATCAATTTTACTCTAAAAATTACATTTTGCATAGCCATATAGCTGGGATATTGCTGAGTGCAACATAAAACTAAACTCACTCACTCACTCTGATGTAGTAAAATATTAGTTTGTGACAGGCACATGCAGAGATCAGTGTTTAAGGAGCCCTGCTGGATCAGTGCTATGTGTGAAGCCTGTAGAGACCAATGTTTTATATGTTTGCAGTGCACAGTGCTCTGCTGCAAAGACTGTGGTACTCAGATAACCCACAAGAACGAGGTGTTCTGCATGTCCATGGAGGGGCCACTCGGAGCCTACGTCAATCCTGGAGGACATGTCCACGAGACGCTCACTGTGTACAAGATCCAGAACCTCAGTCTCAGAGGTCGACCTTCCACGGAACATAGCTGGTTTCCTGGGTATTGAATCCTAGCAGCATTCTTTCTTTGAATCCAGGATCACTAGGTTTGAATCTGACAGTGTCAGCAACTGGTTTGTCTGCTCTAGGGCTGTGTATTGGCAAATAATTGTATTGCAACATATTGCGATTCAGGTACCCGTATTGCGATATGTATTGCGATAAAGTTTATGTTATCTTTAACTGCTTTTTTGTTGGCTCGTCACACCAAATACCTGGTTTCGATTCCCCACATGGTACAATGTGAGAAGCCCATTTCTGGTGTCCTCCACCATGATATTGCTGGAATATTGCTAAAAGTGGCGTAAAACCAAACTCACTCACTCACTCACTTTAACTGCTTTTGAGTGGTATGCTTGTAGTTTAATTATCGATGTTCTTGCTAGTTCCAGTTATTATGTTTCCAAGAAAAAAGTACCACTTGCAGGAATTACCAGAAGAATTTATTCCTTGTTTGCTGAATTTCAGGTATGCATGGACGATAGTTGAGTGCAAGCACTGTTCTAGCCACATGGGATGGAGATTCACAGCCTCCAGTAAAACCCTCACCCCACAGAAGTTCTGGGGTCTGTGCAGAGCATCGCTCATTCCCGGGATACAGAACACTGATGATACTGAGGAGGAGTGGATGCCTGTCATGTGATAGTCATGTGATGTAAGTGAGCTAGTCACATGACATGCACATGACCAGTGACAATGGATGGAACAGGTCATCCAGCAAGAGTCTTTCAATGGAGAATTGTTCGCAGAGTCAAAGATTGCTTTTGGAAAGCGACAAAACGAGATGGACATGAGTCATGTGATGTCACGTGACATTTGTGGGTCACATGATTGTCAAACGACAAGCCATTAAGCCAAAATGAGATTTGAAACTTGTGACTTGCTTGTTAACAAACATCCCTGCTACATGGATTGGTGCTTTGACCATCTTGTGACTGTGGTGTCAGACTTGGAAGAAAATGTGATATTGCCGTTGTTTATGAAGAAATATGAGAGAATACAAAAGCTGTGAAATGAGATTGTGAGAGTAATTGGTGACAGAATGAGCTGTAGAGGGAGTATGTAACAGTGGGATACAGATAACTAGAGTTTAGAGGTTTTAAGTTCCGTTAACAGCTACTGTGATGGTAAAGTTGCAATACAATACAATACAATACATTTCAGCAGTTCTGTTATGTACAAGACCATCTTGATAACATCATACAGAAGGGAAAAGGCTGACCCAGTATCTCCACTTTAACAGTGTAACTTACTGTATGTTTCCATACTTGGTAGCCATTTTGAAACTTCTTTGAGTGGCATTTAGAAGTAGGTGTGATGAACAAGGGAGAATCTATGGACATACAACTTCTTTATTACAATATATGGGATGTTTTGGTGCAAATGCTAACATTTGCTTGATAACAGTGTTAGCACCTACACCGAACCATTATATGTAATAGAGAAGATGAATGATGCATATCCATAGAACTATCCCCCTTGTTCATTTTGAAGCTATTTCCCTTTTTCATTAATATACTTTGCAAACAAAAATCAATGCGTTCTGTAATATACTTCCTTTCAAAAATATAGACTCACTAGTTTAAATATAGCCACTTACTTCAGGCAACTGTTCTAAACTAAATTTTGCAAAATATTCCTTACTGTTTAAAGGTATTGTTTACACATGAACTGATGTATTGTAAAACAAATTCATATCTTTGAAAAGAATATTGTCATGAGTTCAATAAATGATAAAAATGAGTGAAAATTGGCGAATTCTTAACAAAATTTTACACCAAAACGCAGCTGTTCACATGCACGATATTTGCACATGCTTTTTAGCAAATCCTTGTGCAATTCATCTGCATAAACTTTGCAGTTGGTTCCCCAAGTTAGTGGAGACATCCATCTTCAGTGTAACCACATATATCCATAACATATAGTGAGTGTTTTAAGTGAGTCTAAACTTTTGAAAGGAAGTATATTACAGAACGCATTGATTTTTGTTTGCAAAGTTTATATGCTATTCAGATTCAAATGCTGAACTCTAAATCGATTGTCTAATATAACTGCTTCATGGCAATATATATTTGTCCTTTCAGTTGGTTTTTCTGCTTCTTTCTATCTTAAAGCTAAGACATTGTGCTGCGGTCCCCTGGGGGAACATAGTGATCTTGTACCACTGTCCACTAGATGTCGCTGCATTGTGTCTTGGTCAGTTTCCATGGTTCCTAAGATACTATCAGTGTTGCATGAATGTCAGATGGATGTATGAAAACATAGAAGGGTTTTTTTTTTAACCTTTTTCCCGATGTGTACATTAGGAAAGATTTAATCTGTGATGTTTGCTTGATAATTTCCGTAAATACCTTCAGGAAATATGATGTTTATTAAGCAGAATATTAAGAAGCAGCTTATAAATGACTAAGTTTGACCTCTGTTGCATCAAGGTGCTTGGACATCATCAATGGAAATATCTTTTACTAATTGTCAAAGGTCAAGGTCATCTCCAAGGTCATAGCCTAAAGAATTTTCAGCTGTATGTCAGTCAAATTTGTCATCCTGTGGCACGATGCTGTGGCAAAGGCTATGAGTTACTTATGCGTAATATCAAGGTCATTCTAGAATGTTTGCCATTTTCAGCGAAACAACTTCAGCAGACATTTTTTAAATGTTATGCTTGTGGTGTAGAGATTATGTTACCGTACTTGACTACTTATGGACGAGCAATGAAAATCTGATGCGGTTAAGTGGTCATTCCTTCAGATGAGTATGTTTTGTTTTTTACCTTGAATTTCATCAAAGGACATCATATTTAGTATATATGCTGAGTAGCCCTTTGGAATGTTCTTGAAATAGTTGTTACTGATACTGAAGGTCAAGGTCACACACAAGGTCAAATATATAATACTCTTTTAAAACATGAGTATTTGCTGTTGGTCAGTGAAACTTTGTACCTGTCATTTGAAGAGCAGGGTTCAGATGATATAAAGGTCATAGGTGACCAAAATCTTTGGTCAAGATCACGGTGAAGGTCATTTGTGGATCAATTATGTATTTGCCATTTTTAATAAAATTCCTTTTTTGCAGATTAAATCACATGAAAATGTTTTGTTTAACTATAATTGATGACGCAAACCATATGAGTTGAAGGTCACTATGGCCCATTTTGAATGAGTAGCATATGCAAATATTCTTGTTATGTTGACATCCACCAAGGGATATCATGTTTGGTTTGTAGCATCACAGTCAAAAGGCTTCTTCTTAAAATATTAGCAACTGCTAGGAAGAATAAATTCACTTTCATGGGCATACAGTATATAATGTATTAAGTTCCTGGCGACTCAAGAGGATGAAATTTTATACTTATCCTTAGGCTGAGGATAAGGGTGACCTTTTGGTTGATATTCCTTGAAGGTCAAGGTCAAGGTCACTGGAATTGTAATTTCAGAAGGTTGTTCTGTTTCTTTGTGTACTGAACCAACACTCTGTTTGTATGAGATGTTTGTTAGAGGAATCACTCATGCTGTCAATAAGCATTAATGTAACTGTCAACAACATCATGTAGTTAGCTGAATCCGAGGGCCCAGATCACTAAATGGAGGTGCACATGATTATCTTATGACAACAGCAGTTAGTTAGCAGATAATCAAGACTGGCTATTCTCAGTGATTGTAAGCAATGTATTTTCCCCGCCAAAAGTGAAATCCCTTAGGAATTACAAAAAATGGTCTTAGTAAAAATAAAATCTGTGTTGAACCTCTGTGGTGTGCTTAAGCCTTATATGCTCACTGATGTGGAATTCTTGTTGGAACTTTATGAGGCCAAACATCAACAGTTCTGTATTGTTTGTTAATCATGCATGAGTGTGATGTCACATCTTTATTTCATGCTTGAGTCAATTCTCAAACCTAATCAAAAGAGCTGTGTGTGATGAATCTACCCAAGCTCTATGCAAAACTCAGCCATGTTTTTATCAGAGGTAAATTCAATAGAAAGCTTTCACAGATGGATTAACACATTCTCATTGCCCACTTGACTGGTTCAGAAGCATGTGTTAATTAAACCCCAGACTGAATATGTATGCCTCAGTGTCATGAAGCCAGAAACATGGCAAGAGTTAAGCTTGGATAAGATTGCTTGCTGACCTGCAACTGAGCCTACTGAAGAGGTGAAGTCACTGGAGCAGAAACTTCTCTCGTAGAATAAGCTGAGCAGATCCAGGTGAGCTCAGAAGTTAAGGGCTGTTCTTTGTAGAACAGTGCTTCAGAACATTCTCGAGCTAAAAAACTCATTAAACAGAAAAATGATAACGATGATGATGATGATGATTCTTGGTTACCCTAGTGATGACCTTGACCTCTTTTTTTTTCAATTACATTGTATCAAGTAACCAGTTTACAGTTTTCCCAGAAATTATTGAGAAAATCTTTGTTTCCTAATACTTATAACAGAATTTTAAAATAGGTGTTACAGTATGTAGTAAGGTACTCAATATGGGAGGCAACTCTTGTAGGCTTAAGAATGATAATAAGAAGCCGACCCCCTTCTACAGACTACTTTTTTGGTTTGTCCTCAGAATTCGGCTTATCTACAGTAATATACAGTACATGTATTAGATATTTTCCAAAACAACTTTCTCATTAATTTCTGGGAATACTATGCATTATATTAAGGCTTTGTATTTGTTGTATCATACCTTGGAGATGTTTCAGAGAACATTTTTACCAAGATTTCATGACAATCCTCCGCTTTAATTATTGTTTGTTACATAAATATGTTTTTGTCTCAGTGACTTTGTGATTAGGGATAGTTCTCTGTGGATTGTTGCATTTTTCTTAAACATTAACAGTGCCAAAAACATGTAAGTGTGCAAGCTCCAGACATATTCAGTTTTAGCATATGTTATATTTGGGATTACACTTTCTTAGAATCCCAGATGGGACTCAACCCAACGAAAGTGCTAGAATCTGTACTTTACTAAGAAAGTGTAATCCCAGATATAACATTTGTTACATTTGACCACTTTCTAAATGGCATTGTGTATTCATAGCTTTCGGACGTGGGAGCTGTGCCAAATAACACTTATCAGAGGGGTACACAAAGTCGGCAGTCTAGACTACCAGTTGTCCGACTTCCATTTTTGTGGAAGCCGCGGTGGCTGAGCGGGTTAGGCTGACTTTGTGTGCTGGCGATTAGGTGCCTGACTCTGAAGGTGTGGGTTTGAATACAGGATGGGACTCAACCCAACAAAAGTACTAGAATCTTAACTTTACAAAGAAAGTGTAATCCCAAATATAACATATGTTACATTTGACCACTTTCTAAATGGCATTGTGTATTCATATATTCAGTTATGCTTACACAAAATATTCACAGGTTAAGATCCAGAAGGTGGTGCAACCAGGCTCTCCTCCTGCCTACAGTGCTTTAAGGTTACTCAAGAACCAAAGTTAATGAAGTGCAACCCCTATTTTGGAAGCTTGCTCATAATGGATAAACAATAAATAGCACAGCTTGTCACTTGGCAGACCAGCCACCCACTCAGTGACCTGACCACCTTTGTTAAATCGTTCATGAATGTCTGATTTTTGTTAGTCATGCAGACAACTTTTGCGTTCCATGAACAGATTTTTTTAGGTGATCTGGTATACTATTGTTACTGCATAACATACCGTATTCACAGTATTAAACATTTAGACTTAAACAGCGCACCCTGAAATCTTCTAGACCAATATTAAGGTACTCTTAATTATAGTCCCAACTCAGACCAAGCACCATGGCAGTGTATTCTCTTGTGTGTATTAAGTTGTTTGAAAGCAGCCCCTGATCAGTCTCAATTTTCTGATTATGATAAGTATTGTGAAATGCAAAACATATTTACTAAATTACTGAGCTTAAAGTCATAGCCCTGCTTCATATTCAAGAGACTGACTGACTGACTGAGTATGGTTTCCTTCTCAAGTTCCAGCAATATCATGATGGGGGGGTATTGTGAAATGCTTCACACATTGTACCCATGGGGATTCGAACCCGGTCTCGGCGCGTGATTAGAGCTTTAACTTTCACTAGACTACCCCCTGCCCCCATATTCAAGAGAGGGGCCATGGGGTAGCCTAGTGGTTAAAGTGTTCCCCCATCATGCCGAAGACCCAGGTTCGATTCCCCACATGGTACAATGTGTGAAGCCCATTTCTGGTGTCCTCCACCATGATATTGCTGGAATATTGCTAAAAGCGGCGTAAAACTAAACTCAACCACTCATATTCAAGAGATCTCCTTGTGTATTGTACGGGTGGGGAATCCACCTCTCATCTATAGCATATGGGGAGCCCAGTCATCGTAAGTGATGTACATTTGATTTTCAGAGTTGCCTCCCTTTCTTGTGCCAGGATTCCCTGTTCAAAGTTTCTGTTACATGAGACCAAGTAATGTGTCAGTGTTTTTACTCTAAACTGAAAATCTACCCTTTGTGAAATACAAGCTGTATTTATTTGTCTGTCCTTTTGTTAGTTTCTCACATAGGCAGGTGATGAAAGAATACCTGCCATATTTATTTTTTGTAAAGAAATTTCAGTTAACAATTTGCCATTGCTCTAACTCATTTTCCAAGAATTGATGTGATGCTATGATTAAAGTAATGCAAATATGGTACATATAGCTTGTGTTATGTTTTCCTATATTTTGGCATGAAGTACAAGACTGACTGGGGCAGTGGAGTAAGCTAGTGGTTAAAGCATTGGCTCATCACGTTATGGTGATTCCCCACATGGGTACAATGAGTGAAGCCCATTTCTGGTGTCCCCTGCAGTGATATTGCTGGAATATTGTTAAAAGCGGCGTAAAACCAAAACTCACTCACTCACAAGACTGACCTTTTACCTTTTCCATACAATTAACATCACTATTCATTTGACCCTGTTGACGAGACAGACATTTTGCATAGATATCTTTCATAATTTTCCAATTTTAAGCACACCTGAGCTTATTCAATTGCACATTGTTTTCTCGTCTCTCCATCCTTGTATGTATCTTTTGATTTAGCTTTTTGTAGGGTAGCCTAGTGGTTAAAGCGTTCGCTCATCACAAGACTGAGGATTTCATTCTCCACATGGGTACTATGTGTGGAGCCCATTTCTGGTGTCCCTGCCATGATGTTGCTGGAATATTGCTAATAGCAGCTTAAAACCATACACACTCATTCACTCACTCAAAACAAATTTGCTGTGATAATGAAACTGAATTGAAATGTACGTTTAATCAGCGATTAGTCCACCATGAATCAAAGTCTATACTGAACCCCTGTTAATTTGGACAATCTTGTTACACTAATGGGGAGGTCAATGAAGCATGGTTGACGTCCCTACAATTATATGACAATATTCCCAACTGTAACCAATGGCTACAGTGTACTGGATTAATGAAGCGTGGTTGACGTCCCTGCAATTATATGACAATATTCCCTAACTGTAACCAATGGCTACAGTGTACTGGATCAATGAAGCGTGGTTGACGCCCCCAATGGCTACCAATGTATGGCTAGTGACTGGATCAATGAAGCGTGGTTGACGTCCCTACAATTATATGACAATATTCCCAACTGTAACCAATGGCTACAGTGTACTGGATCAATGAAGCGTGGTTGACGTCCCTGCAATTATATGACAATATTCCCAACTGTAACCAATGGCTACAGTGTATTTCTGGATCAATGAAGCGTGGTTGACGTCCCTACAATTATATGACAATATTCCCAACTGTAACCAATGGCTACAGTGTATTCCTGGATCAATGAAGCGTGGTTGACGTCACTACAATTGTGTGACAATATTCCCAACTGTAACCAATGGCTAATGTATTCCTGGATCAATGAACAGTTGTACTACCTGTGATCAATGAAGCCAAAGTCTGGTCCTGATCAATGAAGCGTGGTTGACGTCCCTACATTGTGTGACAATATTCCCCAACTGTAACCAATGGCTACAGGGTACTCCTGGATCAATATGGTTGACGTCACTACAATTATATGACAACATTTCCAAACTGTAACCAAAGTCTACAGTGTATTCCTGGATCAATGAAGCGTGGTTGACGTCACTACAATTGTGTGACAATATTCCAAACTGTAACCAAAGTCTACAGTGTATTCCTGGATCAATGAAGCGTGGTTGACGTCCCTACAATTATATGACAATATTCCCAACTGTAACCAATGGCTACAGTGTACTCCTGGATCAATGAAGCGTGGTTGACGTCCCTACAATTATATGACAATATTCCCAACTGTAACCAATGGCTACAGTGTACTCCTGGATCAATGAAGTTTGGTTGACGTCACTACAATTATACGACAATATTCCCAACTGTAACCAAAGTCTACAGTGTACTCCTGGATCAATGAAGCATGGTTGGTCCCTACAATTATTGACTATTCCCACTACAATTATCAATGACATTAATATTCCCAACTGTAACCAATGGCTACAGTGTACTCCTGGATCAATGAAGCGTGATTGACGTCCCTACAATTATATGACAATATTCCCAACTGTAACCAATGGCTACAGTGTACTCCTGGATCAATGAAGCGTGGTTGACGTCCCTACAATTATATGACAATATTCCCAACTGTAACCAATGGCTACAGTGTACTCCTGGATCAATGAAGCGTGGTTGACGTCCTTACAATTATACGACAATATTCCCAACTGTAACCAATGGCTACAGTGTACTGGATCAATGAAGCATTGGTTGACGTCCCTACAATTATATGACAATATTCCCAACTGTAACCAATGGCTACAGTGTACTCCTGGATCAATGAAGGATGGTTGACATCCCTACAATTATACGACAATATTCCCAACTGTAACCAATGGCTACAGTGTACTCCTTGATCAAAGAAGGATGGTTGACATCACTCCAATTATACGACAATATTCTCATCTGTAAGTAAGACTACAGTTTACCTCTGTGAATGTGGATAGTTCCCACTGATCCCTGGGTCAATGAAGCATGGAACACAGTGATGTCACTCGAAATATATGAAGACATTCCCTTTTGTAATCAGGGTCTACCCTGAACCCCTATAAATGTGGACGGTCCCTCTGATTCAGGAATCAGTGAAGCATGACTGACGTCCCTCCATTAATATGACATTCTCAACTGTAATCAGGGTCTACCCTGAACCCCTATAAATGTGGAAGGTCCCTCTGATTCAGGAATCAGTGAATCATGACTGACGTCCCTCCATTAATATGAGGACATTATCAACTGTTATCAAGGTCTGCAGTGAGCCCCAGTAAATGTGGACATATCCCACTGATTCTGAAATCAGTAAAGCATGACTGACGTCCCTCCAATTATACGACATTCCAGCACTCACCCAGTAAAGGCTGCACTGTACGAGACTAAGCCTTACCGCCACCCTTCATGTTATTCATCTCTTCAAACACCTCAGATCCTACTGAAAATATCACCACCAACTAACAGCCATAAAACCAGTCCTTTAGATCATAAACTGACTCAGATCGGACAATATTGCTGTAGGAGGGTGTACTCCTGCCTCATCTAAAGGGTATTGAGTCGGAACAATGGCGTAACCCTATTTCAGTGGGTACGTTCACGGGTATGTATTGGATATGTTCCACTTGACGTCCTTGGTATACGGGTCAACTTGCTCCACCCATCATAGCCTGGCAGTCACGAATGTTGAATGGAAGGCAGAGACGACAGGTGGGTGCTTTACAAAATGTATTATGTAATGTTTTTGTCCTTTTTGGGTGTGACATTTTACCAGTGTTTGAATCTAAGGAACACCCTCCCTATCTGATTTCATATACTGTCTCTGGGTTGATATGTTGAGGTAGGTTGTCACAGGTAGGGTGGTGAAGGCAGCTCCATTACAGGTGATACATGTATGAAATATTAAACTGCAGGAGATATGTGTTTAATTTCTGATTACTTCTACTTTGTTTAACGGATCACTGGGTGTTTTATTAGCTTTATCTTTCTGATTAGTTATATATTTGCTGTGAGATATAACCTTATTTCACTACATTCAGTATGATATTATAGCCATACAAGAGGGATGATTGATTGATTATGGATAAATTGTTGATATATGTGTGACTCTTGGATACAGTGTTGATATGTGTGTAACACTGATAGATAAAGTGTTGATATACATGTGTGACTGTTGGATAAATTGTTGATATATGTGTGACACTGTTGGATAAAGTGTTGATATATGTATGATTCTGTTGGATAAAGTGTTGATATATGTGTGACACTGTTGGATAAATTGTTGATATATGTGTGACACTGTTGGATAAATAATGATATATGTGTGACACTGTTGGATAAAGTACTAATATTGATATATGTGTGACACTATTGATTAAAATATTGATATGTGTGACTGATGGATAAGGTATTGATATATGTGTGACACTCTTGGATAAAGTGTTGATATATGTGTGTGAATGTTGGATAAATTGTTGATATGTGTGATTCTGTTGGATAAAGTGTTGATATATGTGTGACACTGTTGGATAAATTGTTGATATATGTGTGACACTGTTGGATAAATATTGATATATGTGTGACACTGTTGGATAAAGTATTGATATATGTGTGACACTGTTGGATAAAGTATTGATATGTGTGACTGATGTATGTGTGACACTCTTGGATAAAGTGTTGATGTATGTGTGACACTGTTGGATAAAGTATTGATATGTGTGACTGATGGATAAGGTATTGATATATGTGTGACACTGTTGGATAATGTGTTGATATGTGTGATTCTGTTGGATGATGTGTTGATATGTGTGACACTGTTGGATGATGTGTTGATATGTATGTGACACTGTTGGATAATGTGTTGATATGTGTGACACTGTTGGATAATGTGTTGATATGTGTGACACTGTTGGATAATGTGTTGATATGTGTGATTCTGTTGGATGATGTGTTGATATGTGTGATTCTGTTGGATAATGTGTTGATATGTGTGATTCTGTTGGATAATGTGTTGATATGTGTGATTCTGTTGGATAATGTATTGATATGTGTGATAATGAGTCTGATATGGATGATTCTGTTGATAATGTGTTGATATTGTGATAATGTTGATAATGTGATTCTATTTGATGACACTGATATTGGATAATGTGTTGATATGTGTGACACTGTTGGATGATGTGTTGATATGTGTGATTCTGTTGGATAATGTGTTGATATATGTGTGATTCTGTTGGATAATGTGTTGATATGTGTGACACTGTTGGATAATGTGTTGATATGTGTGATTCTGTTGGATAATGTGTTGATATGTGTGATTCTGTTGGATAATGTGTTGATATGTGTGATTCTGTTGGATAATGTGTTGATATTTGTGTGACACTGTTGGATAATGTGTTGATATATGTGTGATTCTGTTGGATAATGTGTTGATATATGTGTGACACTGTTGGATAAAGTGTTGGTTATGTGTGTGACAATGATGGATAAAGTGTTGCTTATAAGTATGGCCCTTGATGGATAAAGTGTTTTTTTTATGTATGGCATTGAAGTTTACAAGTTGTGAGATAAATGGTATCTGATAGGCACAAATAATCCAGACGTTATCCAGACGACTGCTTACAACACATCCTCCTGAGTGAACACCAACATTTCTGTCATACCTGTTGATTATCAGAACAAAGATAATAATGGACACGAGATAACAAGAGAGAACACATCATCAGAAGTCTCAACCTGTAAACTTTCGGCATGGATATGTGTGCAAGACCAAAGCACGAACTAACTTATCAATAAATAGCAATCAGGAAAGTAGCCCATCACAATCTGACAGTCATCACCATGGAGTACTCAATCAGGGACCTGAATTTCAATCTTATGTGCATGTGTTTGGTACCAGTTTTCCCACATGGGTTTTTCACCCTCTATGACTAAATGGACATGAATATTTTGTCATTTTTTTTAGATTAAATACTTGATGAAGTTCAAGCCCCATGAGATTTTTTCAATTTTGACAGTAACTTTCCAAATAGAAAAATGTGTGACTTTCAGGATTGAACCAGTTTTAACAGTTTCGCTATGCTTTTTCAGGGCTTCAGTAGACAACTGACCCGAAGTTGGGGCCCTGATGAAGGCATGGGTTCGCAGGTGTTGAACAGTCGAGACCTCCAGCCTCCTGACTATTATGTGCCGCCTAATAGTCTCATAGAAGAGAATATACAGAAGGTTGTCAAGGTGAATGAATACACTTTCAGAAGTCAATATAAGAACATTTCTGTGTCGATTTTATGCAAGATCAACTTATTTTGTGTTGTTTGCATACAAATAGATATTAAATACATAAGAAACAATCCTATAATGTTTCTCCAACACCCAAAGATGTGAGGTTTCATACCCTCCACATGTGCAGGAGTGAGGGCAGCAAGATACTATTACTTGCACAACTGAGCATGGATGGTTGACAGTGAAGAAGACACTTCTGTTGAAATCTTGTTTTTTTTTATATTGCCATGACAACCAGCATACAGGATTTATGGCAGAGATGTAATAGAGGAAGTATTCTTAGAATTATCAACAACTATTACCGTAATAACTACTGTTTGAATTCTTAACAGATATATGTTTGCTGACTTATGCAGCATCACATACACATCTGTGAACTTTCTTGCAGTTTACAATTAAGAAATACAGTTCGCTCTACCCCCATGTATCGTGTAATAAAGCACACTTTCGCCCTGAACTATTATAGTTAAAGCATGAGGACGCTTGCTTGTTCAGTTACGAGGGGGCAGACTAGAATGGCGCAGTGACATCAATACATTGTGACGTAATGCAAAATGTGCACATTATCGTCTGATAAAGTACTGTCGGTGCCTTTGATCTTTCACCGAGGCATCTTAGAATGCCCCATAACCCATATTTTGTTATAAACATGTAATGGTGTACTGTATGACCACAGATAAGCCAAATTTAAAGGCCCCCAAAAAGCAGTCTATTAGAAAGGGGTTGGCTTATCAAAACACTTTCATCGAACTCATTTTTCTAGTGGTAAGAAAATGACATATATTGTAGCACTTTGTGTGAATGTACAAGAGAAAATGACTTTTGTCAATGAAGATGTCAAATTTTCAATTACACATCACTAGGTAAGATTATTTACCTTTTCAGTTCTGTCTCGCAAGGTATATAATATTGTATATTCTATGCAGGGATTAAGATTATTGCGTGTATTTGTCTCATAAACAGAGCTGGAAATAGCAGTCAGCTGTACACATTTTCCACTCGATCTACCAGTGATTTAGTATATCTTGTTTTGAACTTATGTGTGTGACATGACACTTGACACTCTTCAGTCAGCACATGTACTGATGAACAACCCGTGAAGGTCTGGGTTAAAATATTGATCTTCAGTAACCCATGCTTGTCGTAAGATGCAACTAATTGGATCGGGTGGTCAGGCTCACTGACTGGGTTGACACATGTCATCGTATCCCAATTGCGCAGATCGATGCTCATGCTGTTGATCATTGGATTGTCTGGTCCAGACTCGATTATTTACAGACCGCCGCCATATAGCTGGAATATTGCTGAGTGTAAAACTAAACTCACTCACTCACAGATGAACATTGAAAGAGCATTAAGTGGAATATATTTGAATACAGGTCTATATGTTTGTTAAAAAATACCCTATCTGAGCAAAAGTATATTAAATATCCAGCACTGCGCGAACCATTTTCGATGTACGGAGCAATCATTTACATTCCATATATGGCAAGTGTTATCTGTTTGGAAGGTGTTCGCCTCTAAGTTTCAATTATCGATTTCAGGCAAGTCATAAGGGATAATAAGTCTTTTATAGCATCAAAAGGAAGCTAAGGTGAATGCATATGCCCCAATATATAAAATATAGGCCAAAATATTGTCGAAAATGTGTGACATTGTGCCTTTAAGTGCAATACTCTTCCATGCAACAATTGTGCAATTTCATCTGAGCACACCTACTTATACATCAACAACTATCGACCAAGAACTTGTCGTTTGTTTCCAAATGTCTGGAGAAGGTAGTTGCACAGATCAAACACCACTTAGAGTTAAATCAGTCGGAGAGTCCTTCCAGTCAGCATACAAAACACTCCATAGCACAGACACAGCCCTTGTTAGAGTTCACAATGACATTATGGTAAATATGGGTCAGCAAAAAGTCACAGCTCTAGTTCTTCTTGATTTGTCAAGTGCCTTTGACACTATCAACCACAAAACTCTACTTCATGGATTTAAGACTCGTATCGGTATAACTAGCACTGCCCTCAAGTGGATTCAGTCCTATCGCTCTGATCGCACCCAATCAGTTAAAATCCATGATACCTACTCTCACAAAATCAGCTCTGTTGATTGGTGTGCCACAAGGATCGGTTTTGGGACCACTTCTTTTCACTATTTACATCCTTCCTGTTGGAGACATAATTCGAAAACATTTTCTGGATTTCCATCTGTATGCAGATGACACTCAACTCTATATCAGCTTCAAATCCTCTGAACTTTCATGCAACATCTCAAAACTGGAACAGTGCATTCAGGAAACCAGAGTGTGGATGGTACCTAACTTTCTCATGTTAAATGAAGACAAGACAGAATTTCTTCTCATTGGATCCAAACACCAGCTCGGAAAGCTAGAATCTGACTCCATGTGTCTTCACATTGGTGATGCTGAAGTTTTGCCCTCACACAGTGCATGAAATCTGGACACTACTGATAACGAATTATAGTTTCGAATCAAAACATACTGAAAAGTGTTTTGTTTTCTTTCATAGTGATGATATGTGATGACATGCCCTGGTTGGATGTCTTGAAGTTCGGATAACTCAATATTTTTTCTTGGTCCTATGAATATCAAGAGAACGGTGCTCGACTGTATTTTTTATTTGAAACAAATGCATTGATGTTTTCCTATCATCCAAACCCAATAGCTCAGTTAACAAAAACATAACCTTGTGTTGTAGTATGCGGGCATGATTGATGGAGTTGCTGCTGACACAGACATCACAAACAGGACTGATGTTCTCCGAGTCATTGACAAGGGGAAGGTGAGCTAGTTTGTAGTTAGTTGTTTGTCGGGAGTCAGAGAAAATCCCTTTTATTCAGAGAAAAAGGCAGGTTGGCCAAGTGCATGAATGGGGTGTTGCCCTGATTTTAGTGATGTCTTGTGTTGAATCTGTAAGATATTGCATTCTATATCCATGAAATATGTGGACATTTACTGTCCTTGGGGATTTTTAAGAATGGTGGTGGTGATGATGATGATAAGGAGGATGACATTGATGATGATGATGATGATGATGATGGTGGTGGTGGTGGTGGTGGTGATGGTGATGATGATAGTGATGGTGATGATGACAGTGACAACGACGATGATGATTATTTAAGTGCTTCTGTGGAATTACTGTAATTCATGAAATTTACATTGAACTTTGAAAACAAGTCAGCAAATGTTGACATCAGGAATGTAGACTTAGAATCTTATAATTATACTGTGTTAGCAGTTCAATTGAGTAATACCATTTGTTATTTTTACGAATTTCACTTCAAATGCTTCACCTGTGCTCAAAGTGCCATAAAAGGTAAAGCAGCAACATTGAAGCCAACTAAGGCTGTAGCCTAACATCTAGTCTCTGAAATGAACATTATATTTTAAAGAAAAGAAAAAACAGTTTCCAAATTATATTCATAAAATATAATAAAAGTAGTCCAGAGACTTTCTTCATTTCAGAAACTGTGGTAATCTAGATTTGACACATATACCCTAGACTTTCATGGGCCTCCTTTCACAAAGCACTGAGGTGAGTCACTAAGGTAACCTTAGTGCAATGTTAAAGAACCTTGGTAAAGGTTGCTTCGTGAAAGGAAAGGGGTACCCATGGTCTGTGTACAGAGGCCATTATGTTGTTATGCAAGGTTGCACCTGTAGACCTGTAGATAGACTAAGGCTTAGTCTCTAAATATAATTTTGATAGTAACAAACAAGCCCATTTATATTGAAAAGGAGCCCTAGGGAGACCAGAGATTCTGAACCTGAGGAAATCTAGACTTGCTTTATTTAGGGCTTTAGCACTGCAAAGAGGGCTTGGCAGTAGGGAAATTAATGTGGTTCAGGGACTGTGAGACAGACTAACCTGTAGACAGCAGACCTGTTATTTAATAATCTTTACATTACTCTTCATTCCAAGATGGCCTGCTGTAAAGGACTGGTGTTTACCAAACCAGAACAAGGATACTCACATTATCAGTCTCGCTCTTAACTCACTCAGTCTCTCACTCATGCAACCCGTGAAGATCCAGATTAGAATTGATCTTCAGCAACCCATGCTTGTCGTAAAAGGCGACTAACAGGATCGGGTGGTCAGACTCACTGACTTAGTTGACACATGTCATCGGTTCCCAATTGCGCAGATCGATGCTCATGCTGTTGATCATTGGATTGTCTGGTCCAGACGCGATTATTTACGGAGCGCTGCCATATAGCTGGAATATTGCTGAGTGCAGCGTAAAACTCAACTCACTCACTCACTCTCACTCATTCACAACCATGTCCTATCTTTCTGGGATGGACTCATTTTGAGATGCACTCACAGTGCTAAATATAACTGCTTGTAGTAACTCGACTGTGAACTGTTTAGCAGATTGTAACTGTGTGATCACAGTTCATTGATTATGTTTATTGCATACAAAATGGATATTTGTTGGAAAGCAAACTTTGCAATTTCTGTCACAGCTGTGTGGCATATTGGAGTGTATGAAATAGTTTTGAAATATGGCCTGTCCAAGGACTGGTTGTCTAAAAAAGTGACAAGTCCTGAACAAACACAGCCAGTCCCAAAAACTAAAACAATGAAAAAATAATAGATAAGACGAAGTTCAAACTAAGTTAAGTTTATGTTTTTCAAATATTTCCCCCGACCAAAGAATGGCCTTACTTATTTGATAGACCGTCCTTCACAAAAATAGACTGTCAAGGACGATGGGACGGGCTATGTGATATGTGTTATACACTGCATATCACTTATCACTCATTGCAGCTTAGATTAATAATTGCACAGTCTTTGAAAATTCTATTTCAAGTGCAAGGACTAAAGTGTGATATGTTTCTCAAATCTGTTATTTCAGAAGCAAGGACTGATCCCATCCAAGGTTGGGTACGAACAGGACGCCATCTTCAGCCTGAGTGTCAACAACGTCAAGATTAGCAGATACAACCAGACAGAGGTCAGTCAGAGAACCAGACTCTTGTACTGCAATACAATATCTAAAGCCCATAAGGTCCAACCTATGACTGGTATGTTTGTTGTTCAACGCAGCACTCAGCAATATACCAGCTATATGTCAGCCTTCTGTAAAATGAATCTGGACCAGACAATCCAGTGATCGACATCATGAGCATCGATTTATGCAACTGGGATATGATGACATGTGTCAACCAAGTCAGCGAGCCTGACCATCCATCTATCCAAACTATGTATACAGACAATGCCTTTCAGAAAATGGTCAAATATAATGCATGTTATTTGGGGGGTTACTCTTTCTTAGTAAAGTACCATAGTGCTTTTTTGGGTTGAGTCCCTTCTGGGATTTGAACCCACACTCCCAGAGTAAAGCACCTAATTGCCATTACACAACAGTACCTCAATGAGAAAATGTAGTAATAGATGTTTTATCTGAATTCACCTCTAATTTCCATGACATGCATGCTTCTCAAACCCAACATATTGTTCTTGAATTTGTCAAGTCCAACAAGTTTTACAGTTACTTTTGGGCCTTACCAAAATGAATTATTTTAGAAAGAGTATTTACGGACTCTCATTTTTTGCATCATGGCATCATAAAGTTACAGAATAAACACTGAAATGAAAAGAAAATCCTCAGGGATTGTCTTGTCAAGAACAGTTTTCGGGCTGAGCCCATTGAATGTTGTGCTCAGATTTGCTTGTGACATGAATGGAAGCTGACTGTGACAGATTTAAGTGATACACTGTCATTTGCAGCACCAGTCGCAGGGGTAGAAATAACCCATTGCCCGACGTCCGAGTCCAGTGTTTTTTTCTGTCGGGCAAGCACATTTGTATATCACACTGTACCGCATTCGTGACCAAATCGTGTTATTCCAGGACAAGCCGAATAGCGGGTTACGGAAAGGGGCGAGTGGTGACGAATGACTGTACCGGTGTCCAGTTGACTTTCCAATGTTAATTATATTGTTTGTTTAAAAAAATCTACAAGAAAACGTCCGGTATAGTGGAAAAATTATCAGGGCAAGTGATTTTACATGTGCCACTGTTCCAGAGTACACTAGCAATTTTAAAATTATTTCCACCCCGGCAGTGGCAAGATGGCCACCTGTTTCTTCTTGTCAGGGGTAGTGGTGTAGCCTAATGGTTTACATCCGCTTGCCATGCTGAAGACCCGGGTTTGATTCCCAACATGGGTACAACATGTGAAGCCCATTTTGGTGTCCCATGCCGTGATATTGCTGGAATATTGCTAAAAGTGGCGCAAAACCAATTTCTCTCTTATGAATCTTGTCAGCTTAGTTCTTCTCTCCCTTGTTATGCTCCAAGATGTTGCAGTTTTGCTTCTACTTAAACCACAGGTGGGGTAGCCTAGTGGTTAAGACGTTCGCTCGTCATGCTGCTGACCCGGGTTCAATTCCCCACATGGACATGTGTGAAGCCAATTTCTGGTGTTGCCCCGTCCGTGTATTGCTGAAATATTGTTAAAAGCGGCGTAAAACTAAACTCTTTTAACTACAGATATATGTCCTCTCTGACTGAGCTGAAAACATGGAGTTCTCTCCCTTGTTATGTTCCAGGATGTCATGCTTTGGACACAAATGCATGATGTTGCAGTTTTGTCTGGTATACAACACAGTAAAATGCAGAACTTTTGAGCTGTGTCTATTCTAACTAGGCTATATTTTAAAGAGTTCTCTCCCTTGTTATGTTCCAGGATCTGTTGCTGCGGATACCCATGCATGAGATTGCTGCAGTATGTTATGTAAAGGATGATGATCAGCATATTCTGGCTCTCAAACATGGTGGGTTGTGAAACCAGAGAATTCAGTGATGATTAATTTCTATATGTTCCAAGCAGTACCGCTGGGGTATTCAGTTTAGAACTGGCCCCTAAGAATTTATGTTTGTTACATGAAACAACTTGATGAGTGAGTGAGTTTAGTTTTATGCCACTTTTAGCAATATTTCAGCAATACCATGGCGGAGAACACCAGAAATGTTCTTTACATATTGTACCCATGTGGGGAATCGAACCTGGGTCTTCGGCCATGACAAGCAAACACTTTAACCACTAGACTTTCCATAATCTTTAAATTTGAAGTATTTGTATTTTTAATTTTCAAGGAACCCTGGAAGACTGCAGTTTGTCTGTCCTGTACTGTCAATCAAAGGTAACAAGATTCTGAATCATCAACCATTTCCTCCAAATACAAATCCAGATTTTGACACAGACAAGCATGGTGTAATCATAACGTAAACATTCCCTCTGGATTATGGTAGCCTTATTCCTGTGGATTCACAGATACATACAGAAAATCAAATGAAATTTTAAAACAAATCCAGATTTTGACACAGACAAGCATGGTGTTTTTATAACGTAAACATTCCCTCTGGATTATGGTAGCCTTATTCCTGTGGATTCACAGATACATACAGAAAATCAAATGAAATTTTAAATTTTAATACAAATCCAGATTTTGACACAGACAAGCATGGTGTTTTGTTGGTCTCAGGTTCCTTTAAGGAAAATCCATGTATATTCATTAACCAAGCACTTGTTGAGGTTCCCCTGATTTTTCTGTGACATGCATGTGCTCCTGAGTTTCAAGTGGTAGACAGGGGCGTAGCTACCATTATAAAAAAAGGCCGGGCTTACACATGACTTTTACTATGAAAGTTGGGCAAACCCTCAATACTATCTAAATATAAAATTTTGCAACCTATCGGGCTTACACAAAAAGACCAGCATCACTTCGGCTTTCAACATTAATCTGACACCCAGTGATGTAACGGGAATTATGTTTCCATCTGTTTTATATATCGGAGTCAACACATTTAGATAAATATGTCATAAAGTGGAGAATATATCTTGAAATGTGAAAAACTGTTTCCATTTGGGTACCTAGACTATGTTTCAATGGTTGTACTGTTCCATGTACTGTAATAGAAGCCGTGTAGAGAGCTAGTGATATGGTCACTTTGCAGAAAACTGTATATTGTCATACACCTCTCTGTTGTTGTAGCATATCTATATAATTATGAAAATTAATATGTCAAGTTAACCGAAAATCTGGGATTAGGCTCATCCGTAGTCTGTCTCACAGTCCCTGAACTATATTATTTTCTGTCTAGCCCTTTCTCCAATGCTAAAGCCCTAAAAGAAGCAAGTCTAGATTTCTTAAGATTCAGAATATCCTTTCTTAGGCACTGGGGCTCCTTTTCAAGGAATTGATTGCTTCTATCAAAATATATATATTCAGAGACTGAGCATTATTCTAGCCCATCTGCTGTGATATCAGAACAAGCATGTTTACTTACATACAAGAAAAGTCTACCCACATGATATTCAAATAAGTTTGTGGCAATAGGGTAATGCTGAGTGAGTTTTGCTTTTCGCCGCTTTTAGCAATATTCCAGCAATATTGCGAGGGACACCAGAAGTGGGCTTCACTCATTGTATCCATGTGGGGAATCGAACCTGGGCCTTCCGCGTGAAGAGCGAACGCTTTAACCACTAGGCTACCCCGATAATGCTAAGAGGCCTGGTCGAATTTCAGATAAATTCAAGGTCAATCACTACTGATAATCTTATGGTGATTTAACTTCTTTGAGTTTCATGTAGAAGCTGGTATGATGAAGAGGAAACAGCTTTATGGATAGACAACTTCTTAATTGCAAAAGATTTGACGTTTCGGTGCAGATGCTGTATAACGATGTTGGCCCCTACACCGAAATGTCGCATCTATTACAAAAAGCAGCTGTCAGCCCTTAAAGGTGTTTCCTTTTCATGAGGACTTTACAAGGATCTTGTTCAGTATCTGTATTCTGATTGGTTCCCACAGCAAGCAGCAGAGGAACTATGCGCTCTGATTGGTCAGTGTTTCCAGCTGGTGTACACGGAGGCAACAATGCATCTCTTCGCTCCTCACATTCCTGAAATCTCAACCAGCACATCTCACAGTGGATCTTCCGATGGTAGGTGGACTTGACGATTTGGTATTCTTGTATGAGAATCACACATTTGATTTTGTGAGTGTGAGTGAGTGAGTGAGTGAGTGTAGCTTTTAGCAATATTCCAGCAATATCAACGCGGGGGACACAAGAGGTGAGCTTCACACATTGTACCCATGTGGGAATCTAAGCCAGGTGCATGAAGAGTGAACGCTTTAAACACGAGGCTACCCAACTTCCCCTGATTGTATTAAATAATGTAATATTCTTTTTTTAGACACCTGAAATTGTATTGTTGTAGTGTAGGGATAAGTGTTTTTGTGTTTACAGTTAGCATTTTGAATATTCATTATGTAGGAATGATATGCAGAACCACCTCATTCATGTTTGATAGGGTAGTTTGGTGGTTAAAGCGTTTGCTCGTCATGCCAAAGACCCGGGTTCAATTCCCCACACGGGCGCAATGTGTGAAGCCCGTTTCTGGTGTACCCCGCCGTGATATTGCTGGAATATTGCTAAAAGTGGCATAAAACCGAACTCACTCACTTACTCATGCACGATTGCATGCTCTGTCGATGATAAATTTCTTGCAGTTAAGTTAATATATAGCTTCATAAAGAGCAAATAAGTGGGTAGAAGTAGAGTGATGGGGGAGGGAGGGACACAGGAGGCTGGGAGAGGGAAGAGTGAGTGAGTGAGTTTAGTTTTATGCCGCACTCAGCAATATTCCAGCTATATGGCGGAGGTCTGTAAATAGTCAAGTCTGGATCAGACAATCCAGTGATTAGCAGCATGAGCATCGATCTGCACAATTGGAATACAATGACATGTGTCAACCAAGTCAGCGAGCCTGACCACCCGATCCCATTAGTCACCTCTTCCGACAAGCAATTGGGTTACTGAAGATCAATTCTGACTCGGATCTTCATGGGTCGGAGAGGGAAAGGAGGAGGGAGACACCGAAAGAGACAAGAAAAGATGGGGAGGCTGAGGGAGGCACAGTAGCAAGAACTGTAGCAAAAACTGTGATGTTTTTCTTGTCTTTTATTTACATGGAATATTCTTGCACCGTATTTCATAATTCTTTCACTCACTCATGCCCATTCCCAACCTTGTGGACTTACAGATATTGTGCTAGGTGTACATTAATCAAAAAGATAAAATATTCATCTCAGTTTTGTATTTAGTTTCAGATTCGACAACTGTGATTCCCATGATTCCAGGGCGTCCATCATTGTAAGTTCAATTCTTGTCATATCCAGCTGACCTGAAGATCCAGGTTAGAACTGGTATTTACCAACACATACTTGTCGTAAGATACAACTAATAGGATCAGGTGGTTAGGCTCGCTGACTTGGTTGACATATATGTCAAAGATTTGTCTCAATAATATTTATGAAATATATACATATTTTACGACTTTATGTTTAATCCGGTGCCCAGTTAATCATCAAGGCAAGATGTAGATGCTTTTGGATGGCTTGTTCTGCAATTTTAAAAAAAATCAGCTAACATTTAAAATTCACACGTGATAATATGAAACTAATATTGAAAATGATGATGACAATGACATGATTATCATTTGACATTCCACAGTAATAAAAAGTTCTCATAGCAACGAATGGGTACCCGGTAAGATGAGATGGCATGTTGGACTGTAAACTTCTCAGGCACCTGGACTTGAATGTTCCCCAGGGAGCTGAGAATGAAGATTGAGTGCACTCTAATCATCATCATTTTTGCATATATGTTTCAGCTTGACATCATCAAACTTTGATCTCCCGATTATCACAAACTCCACCCCGAATCCCAGATCAGATCCCAGTGAGAAGAGCATGAAGGGGAGCGAGATCAGTGTTCCTTCTGACCTCGTCAAAGATTACATGTTTAAAGTTAGTGTGTTATCATCTACATACCCAATACAATGAGTGAGTAAGGTTTTATGTCGCTTTTAGCAATATTCCAGCAATATCACAACGGGGGCCACCAGAAATGGGCTTCACATACTGTACCATGTGGGGTCTTCGGCGTGACAGGCGAATGTATTAACCACTAGACTACCCAACCGCCTCCTTAGAGGTAGACCTCGGAGTGGTGGAATTGGGTTTAACGTCGTGCTTGAGAATATTTCGCTCATATGACGACGTGCATGCGTGGATATGTGTATGTGCGGCTGCTTGTACTAGCCCAGACTGAAGCTGGTTTTATAGTGCTAGCCCACTGACATACCATGCCGCAGTGAAGCATGAATACCCCACTCAGACACATTATACTGACTCCGAGCCGACCAGGCCTTGTTGTACCCATTAATGCCGAGCGCCAGGCAAGACCTTGGAGTATCTGAAACAACTACTGAGTACTTTATGTGGTGTAGTCTAGTGGTTAAAGCATTTGTTTGTCACGCAGAAGACGGGGGTTTGATTCCTCACATGGGTACAATGATACCCATTTCTGGTGTCTTCCCAGCTGTGATATTGCTTGAATATTGCTAAAAGCGGCGTAAAACTAAACTCACTTGCCGCCATTTCGATAACATCCTATACAGTTCCAGGACTCCCATTTCCGTAATTATCTGGATCCAGTCCTGTGGTTCTTGCAGTAACAAATAACCAGTGATCAGGTGGTCAGGCTCGATGACTTGGTTGACCCATGTCCCTGTATCCCACTTGCATAGATTGATGCTTATGCTGTTGATCACTGGATTGTCAGTCCAGATTATCTACAGACCGCCGCCATGATATTATAGCTAGAATGTTGCCGAGTTAGGCGTTAAACATAGCAACATAGGCGTTAAAATATAGCAAGTGTTGGGTTGACACATTGTGCCCATAGTTTCAGTGTCTTACCTTCATTGATGCAAAAGAATAAGTTACAATGTCAGTTCTTCAGTTTGTATTATTTACCTTTAATTGAAGCAAGGCTATTAAAACTTCAGCAATGCTATGTACTTGGGTCTGTTGGACATTCTCTGTTGGCCTGACTACTATTTTAAATATTGAAATTTTCAGCTGCATCAGAAAATGAATCCAGAAGAACTGCGCCATTTTGCTGAACTTCTGCGAAGGTTGTACAGTGACATGCCGATAGATGAATTTTGTGCGCAGGTGCTCTTTCTGTATGGTCAAGAAAGGAAACATCTTTTGGCAGGTGGGTGTCGACTTGCCTCCTCATTTTACACAACATCTTCATGAAAGCGTTCACTCATCACGCCGAAGACCCGGGTGGCGTAAAGCAATACTCACTCACTCAAGGCAAGGGAGTTAACTCTGACCTGACTGTAAAAGTCTGTTTTCTACCCTTGCCAAACTAAACTGGAATTCTGTTGCTCTGTTACAGCGTCACCAGTGGCTATTATCATGTCCTTCTTAATTTTCTGTTAATGGTTTGCTGGATTTAGGAACCTCTATTCTCATAATGAGGCATATGTTTGTTTTTCAGACTTAAGTCCATTCATCCCGTCAGAAGATTACAGTTATTTCCTCGACTTCCTCTGTAAGAATGACATCGCCCTCCCCAAAACTGGGACTGTTTCAAGCTCCAGGAGCAACACAAGAAAGTACATGTAATATTCACAAAATACTTAACAAGATTCCATGAATCACATCTTGCCTCAGGTCAATAACTCATGTCTCTTGTGAGGATGATGGTTGGAATTGTCTTCAGCAACCAATATTTGTACCCTGTGATGATACAGGTTGAAATTGGTCTTCAGCAACCAATACTTACACCCCTGTGAAGATACAGGTTGGAATTGGTCTTCAGCAACCAATATTTGTACCCTGTGATGATACAGGTTGGAATTGGTCTTAAGCAACCAATATTTGTACCCTGTGAAGATACAGGTTGGAATTGGTCTTCAGCAACCAATATTTGTACCGTGTGATGATACAGGTTGGAATTGGTCTTCAGCAACCAATATTTGTACCGTGTGATGATACAGGTTGAAATTGGTCTTCAGCAACCAATATTTGTACCCTGTGATGATACAGGTTGGAATTGGTCTTCAGCAACCAATATTTGTACCCTGTGTACCCTGTGAGATACAGGTTGGAATTGGTCTTCAGCAACCAATATTTGTACCCTGTGATGATACAGGTTGGAATTGGTCTTCAGCAACCAATATTTGTACCCTGTGAAGATACAGGTTGAAATTGGTCTTCAGCAACCAATACTTACACCCCTGTGAAGATACAGGTTGGAATTGGTCTTCAGCAACCAATATTTGTACCCTGTGAAGATACAGGTTGGAATTGGTCTTCAGCAACCAATACTTACACCCCTGTGATGATACAGGTTGGAATTGGTCTTCAGCAACCAATATTTGTACCCTGTGAAGATACAGGTTGGAATTGGTCTTCAGCAACCAATATTTGTACCCTGTGAATGATACAGGTTGGAATTGGTCTTCAGCAACCAATATTTGTACCCTGTGATGATACAGGTTGAAATTGGTCTTCAGCAACCAATATTTGTACCCTGTGAAGATACAGGTTGAAATTGGTCTTCAGCAACCAATAGTTTTACACCCAAGAAGACATAGGTTAGAATTACTGTTCAACAACCAATATTTGCACACCCATGAAGATACAGGCGAGATTCCAGTGGTCTGTAAATAATCAAGTCTGGACCATACAATCTAGTGATCAACAGCATGAGCATTGATCTAAACAATCGGGACACGATGACAAGTGTCAACCAAGTCAGTGAGTCTGACCACCCGATGCCATTAGTCGCCTCTTACGACAAACATGGGTTGCTGAAGACCAATTCTAACCCGAATCTTCACAGGTATATCTATCAGGGACGTAATGAGCACCATAACTGTCCCAGTATCATACAAGAACCGAACTATTACGTCTATTACCTGGATTGAAAATGTCTAAATAATGACTGAAAGGTGAGTTTGTGAGACCTTAGGTAACATCTTAGATGATTTTTGTCGGAATCTGTTCATACACTGATTCATCTCATCCCCTGAGAGGTCAAAGGGTATGCACAGGGCTACACTGATCTGATACGGTCTAATACAATTTGATAAGATTTTATGGGAAATTCCAAGCTGAAAAATGATTAAATATCTGTCTATTAATAGTCTACCAGAAAAAGCTGAAAGGACAAATTTTCAAGGTCACATATTCAGGTTTTTTTTATGCTTATGACAAAACCACACCAATTTTACCACTTGAGCCATCATAAGAAGAATTTCACATTGTAAAGTTAGCATGTTTTTTCAAAGCTGACTTCAGGCATGACCTATTTCTTCCAGCAGACGGTCACTGAGTGAGTTGTCAACAACAAGCACCATCACCAATAGCAACGCCGACGATGTGGAACAGATTCTCAACATGGTCACTGATCAAATTGCTCAACTTGATACCAGTGATACAAACTCGGAATACTTTGACTATTGACGCCTCCGTCACAGAAGGAACTCATTGACTCTGGCGCAAGATTTCCAGAGTGTGCCTGTGTGTTCTTGGAGTGTGGGACTCCCGTGGCCAAGGGGATTGTTTCCTTGGAGAGCTCAAGATTGGAGGTTTGAACCCTGGCTGCATCAAACCAAATGACGCTAAAAGATGGTTCTTGTTCCTACCCTGCCTGCTAGGCGATATGGGATATGACAAGGACTGATTGTCTCAGTTGGTGAAATGTGTCTGAGGAGAGTATCCATATTAACCTTTAGCGTGGTGTCTGTTTGCTTGGCACTATAAACTAGGGGTGTCACGATACACCAATCTCACGATACGATACATATCCGATTTTAAGGTCACGATACGATACGTATTGCGATACATAATTTTCGCGCCTTTTCATAGCTTTACCTTATCGGCAACGTACGCGCTCGCTGATTGGTCCATCAAAATAGTCTAGCCAATCACAAAAGCTGTTAGTTTCCAACCTATTTTTTAAGTAAAGCTAGCTACATCTATTTATCGGAGCGATCTCGTATAATTTTACTATCAAGACTTTGAAGGAGATGGATATAGCATAAAAATTTGAATCGATAAAGTTTTAAAATAGGAATCGATACATGCAAGCATGTATCGCGTATCGTATCGTTAGTAAAAAAACGTATCGATGCATCGATACATTCTCGTATCGCGACACCCCTACTATAAACCCGGTGATAGTTCTCACTAGTACATGCACATTCCATGCACATCGCCATATAAGTGCAATAACACAAAGCTGACGTTTCTGTACGACTCTCATAAACCTATGTTCACCTGCTTGATGCCACTCATTTGATTCTTTTCCAATGCACAATTTCATAAGATCTGAAAAGTGTATCATTTGCGAGAATTTAGCTTGCCTGGCAGTGGATCTACCTGACTATATTTTTCCAATCCAATGGAGTGAATTCAATTGCAGTTATATTCAACTTCAATTTAAGGGTTGAAGGGGAGGGACATATATGTCTATCTGGCATCCAGGGGTTTAAAGAACAATAGCAGATAACAAAGTTGTTGGTAGTCAACTAAATATATAAAACAGAACCCTTGTCCCCACTCCACAATGCAATCTTAGCGCGCGCTAAGGTGACTGTTTAACTCCCATACTTTAACACTGACTTATGACAGTCGCAGCTCTGAGATAGTTTTGTAGAACGGTGCCCTGGTTTGTAAGATAAGTAGATTTTAGTCCACATTGTCTCTAATTAAATCCGACAAATGCTTTCTGTTGACAAATATATGCATAGTTTTGTGTTTACCAGGGTGCTCATTCTTCAACTATCACCGACAGATATTGGCATTTCACATATCACAAACCAGTCAACAGAAAATGTTCCATACTTCACCCTATCTATGTGGTAGGTCTATATGTAAATAAGCTTCAAAGCCTAAACTGGAAGTAAAACCTTAAGATCTGCAATACCGCATTGCCTGTATTAAGCGCCTTCCGCCAATAATCGCTGATCAACTTCTAGACATATGGGTAAATAATCTTGATAAGCACCTCAACACATGCCGAAACTTTACATGACAGGTTTCTTTTACAGTATTGAAAAACCTTTAGTTTAGTTTTCATGGACATTTAAATTTTTTTTTTTTAATTTCAATGTTTTTATAATGTCAGAAGGTCCCTGGATCACCTCCAGGGAAAGGGTGACTCTCAATTGTACAGTTTGAAATCTTAGTGACAGAAATTCTGACATTTTCTTGAGAAAAAAAAATCATTCAATCTCACATTCATACTAATACTGTTGTAAGATTAAAATACACTGCCAGCTTTTACTATGTGTCTGCTTTTCACTTATACTTTAGGCTAGACTAACTGAAAAGTGGATGATAGAGAGCCCACTTTGTGCAGCATTTATTGAGTTTATTTCTGCTTGAGAAACTAATTTTCTCAACAGAATGCCTCTGTTCAGACACTTTTTTAAAACCAGCAATGTGTGGTTTTACCCTTTGACACCGACATTTATACACAAAGAATTTAGCCATCAATAGTAAGAGGTCAAAAACAGTATCTGTGACAGTATTCGAGTCCCACCCAAACATAACAAGTTCAGCAGAGAGCTTTAGATTAAACATATGGTCACATGTCTGTGTCAACCATCCATGGAAGTTATTTTAAAATAAATCTATAAATGGACACTGCCAAAACCAGTGAAGTTTCTTCACCTGAAGAACAGAAAGTGCAGAGATAATTGTCTCTTTGTTCTATTTGACATTTCAACTTAGTTGCTTCCTACTGCTAAATCTCGGAAAACAAATCGGTAGTTCTGTATGGTTGTAATATGCAGGTTTTAACGCCCCCTGCAGTGGAATACAAACAATTTACTAAAATGTTAATTTGCCTTAATTTGGAATGCAAGTATCCAAACATGAATCTCTTCATAAACTGGTGAGAAAAATACGATAATAAATATGGGAAAAGAATTGTGAATCTTTTTCAGCTTTCAGTGAGTGAGTGAGTTTAGTTTAGTTTTACGCCGTACTCATAATCATACCAACAAACATACTTATGATATGAATATACATGGCTACATGGGACTTTCTTTGTTTGTTGTTTAACGCCGCACTCAGCAATATTCCAGCTATATGGCGGCGGTCTGTAAATAATCGAGTCTGGACCAGACAATCCAGTGATCAACAGCATGAGCATTGATCTGCGTAATTGGGAACCGATGACATGTGTCAACCAAGTCAGCGAGTCTAACCACCCGATCCCGTTAGTCGCCTTTTACGACAAGCATAGTCGCCTTTTATGACAAGAATGGGTTGCTGAAGACCTATTCTACCCCGACGGTCTTTTCAGCTTTCAAGTACATGATGTGCTTATTATGAATGTCTCATCAAGCTTCACCAGTTTGTAAGGTATGAACATATTAACATTCCCCAATAAATGAATTATTTGACATGCTGTTATTTTCTAATATTCGAATACTTCATTATGTTTTGTTGTGAATTTATTAATTATATTTTATTAATTTTTATTAGGTTTAAGCCACCTACTTCTGGTGTGTTCTATTTTCATCCCCCATATTCATCTCCCCTCCATAATGAAAGACCACTAAAAATGAAGTATAAGCTGTAAAATGTATGTTATTTATCATGTTTATAATCCGCCGCCACAAAGTGATATGTGTTCGAGCTCCATACCTCCGAGATGATGGGAACAGATTTTCTCAAAAATTGTTAGACAGGAAAACCAAACGTGTTATGTATTTTCGGGACACAAATGCCTTGATGAAGTTCGAAAACAGGAAACCGTGTAACGATTCTTTACAGAGTTATGGCCCTTGTCATGCTTTTATTGGCTTATTGCACATTATCCTCAATGGGAACAGATTTTCTCAGTAACCATTATAGACAGGGAAACCAAATGTGGTATTTGTTTTCAGGATATGAATGCCTTGATGAAGTTCAAAACAGGAGTTAAAAACAGCGATTCTTTACAGAGTTATGGCCCTTGCTTTTATTGGCTTATTGCACATTATCCTCAATGGGAACAGATTTTCTCAGTAACCATTATAGACAGGGAAACCAAATGTGGTATTTGTTTTCAGGATATGAATGTTGTGGTGGAGTTAAAAAACAGGAACCAAATAGGAACGGAACACTGGCGGGGGATATTGATGACCATGTCTTCTTGTTAACTTTGTTGATGTTTTCAGAGACCGTATTATATGGTATCTGGTGTTTTTAACCAGCTGTTGTTGTTGAATACATAAAATAAAATGAAATGTATTGAAAAACATAAATATTAATACTTAATAAAATTAATGCTTTTCAGTTTGTTTGTATCTTTGTTTTGATTGAGTGGAAACGCGTAAAACAATGTGACTCTAATTATGTGACTAAGTATTAGTTGACTCTGATACAATTACATCGCCAAGAACTACAACAAACTTGCAGTTGCTATCATACAGGAAACGCTGACTTCCAAGCTGAATGTTGATTTAAAATCATCTATTTGAGTGAGTGAGTTATTATTTAACGCCACCATCGGCAATATTCCTTATTTTTGTGTGCCATATCGTGACGCGATCAACTATTTTGAAATTAGTTCTGTCCATCCATCTTTTCTACACCATAAACCATGCTGGTGGCACATGAATACATGCAATTACTTCCTTTACATTGGGAACCACCTCCTGAATGTTGATGTAGTGGATAGAGCATCCGCCTGGAGAGCGGAAGGTTGGGTACATTGGGAACCATACCAATGGTAGAGCATCCGCTCACCATACCAAAAATACATTAAAATAGGGTACATGTTGGTCCCTGCCTGGCGCTCTGCATTAATGGTACAAGGACTGGTATAATGTGTCTGTGTTGGGTATTTATGCTTAACTGCGGCATGGCATCTCAATGAGCTAGCATTATAAAATCAGCTTAAGTCCTGGCAAGTACAAGCAGCCACACATACACACACATGCTCATCGTCATATGAGCAAAATAATCTTAAGTGCGACGTAAAACCCCATTTCACCTCACCTCACCTTTACATTGGGAGGTCAGTGTTCATTTAGGTTTCACCTGATGCAGTCTTTCATGGAAGTGTGTTCACAAAGAGGTTAGTATCTGATGGCAGTAATTCCTGAAGTACCAGGTATACATGGACACATCAAGATTAGATGTCTTATCTAAGATACCTTGGAAATAGTCACTGGTGTCTTCAAATAATTATGTTTATGAAAGACTGACATATTCTACATGTGCTAAAGATTAGAAACATGTTAATAACTGAAAATTAAGCAACAAGTTTATGACATTATCTCTTTAAGACTGACTGAGTTTGGTTTTACGCCACTTTTAGCAATATTCCAGCAACATCACGGCGGGGGACACCAGAAATGGGCTTCACACATTTTACCCAACCCATGTGGGGATTCGAACCCGGGTCTTCGGTGTGACGAGCCAACGCTTTAACCACTAGGCTACCCCACTGCCCCATCTCTTTAAGATATCACTTTAGTATCCTAATGGAAATTTGAGTTACATCTGATCACTAAATCTCAGCTTCTTGACAAACATGAGCAGAAATATACAAGCACATCACTACCAGTAGCTTAAATGACATACGATGCAGTACTAACAAATAACATGATAAAAACACTTGTAATGAAACAGACCATAAAACCTGGTATGAACGAATTCCAGGCCCTGTTCACTCTCAACATCAGCGATTGTAGTTGGTGGGCTGAACATAGAAATTGATATTTTAAAGGAGAATCGTTAGGCTGAAGGGGTTGTTATCGGCACAGGTTCTACAGATATGTACCCCAGAGTATGTTTCTGTACACAGAAATGTACCCTGAACAATTTAGTCAAAAGACAGAAACGACGGACGAGTCCATATTCCACATCTCAAAACCAAAATGTATGGTATATAGTTGTTCCCGTTCATATGATTTGGAATGGTATTGTGCATCACTAATTAGTCGTTACTGAGTATGTTAATTTCTGATATAACGCAATCAAATGCTTTTAATACATCATGATAGTTCCAAATAAAGAAAATGTACCTGGGGTACACATCTGTAGTATCCGTGCCAACAACGACCCCTAACAAGTTAGAACTTATTATTTTAGTTGCTTTCTTTCTTAACTCAGAAATACAGCTGATGTCCTATTGAGAGATGTGAATTATTTTATTTTGTGTGTTACATACATATATTACAATAATAATCTTAGAACTACCCAAATCTGAAAATATGTCACATTCCACAATAATATATTATTCCGAGCATTGGAGACTAAAACATCATTATTTAATAAACTCTCACAGATGCCGCTTTTAGCAATATTCCAGCAATATCACAGTGGGGGACACCATAAATGGGCTTCACACATTGTACCCATGTGGGGAATAAATTAAACCGATTTTCAGCATGACGGGCGGACGCTTTTCATGAGGCTACCCCACCATCCCTGAAATAGTTTGAAAGGAGGTTATCAAAACATGTACAAAGTTGTTTTATCTTTGGTAATTTTTCTAAAGTTTAATAAATTGAATACATATTTAGGTATTGGTTCTTAGAATTGAGTTTAGGAGTTGGAGGTATTCCTACAAGTACAACACAAATTTGTGACTATGTCTGCCCCAAAAGGTGATGGTAAGTAAGTTTATATTTTTAAAACAAACATGACACAGATTGAGAATTAATTGTGTTCAAGTTGGGGGTATCCATGTAAACTATGGCATACTTCTTCGGTGCGCTAGCGCTATAAAATAAACATTTAACTTTAAAACAGGACTAACAGAAACAATCACCCACATTTGCATGCACTGTAGGTCCTGCAAAAAAGTAATATCAAATATATCAAATAAGTTCTTTGCACTTTTTTGTCCATTTAGAAAATTTGTTTTGCTTGGCAAGGGAAAAAAGTGAAAAACCCCGTGAAGATGTAACTGGTTCCACTAATGTTACACACTGCTATGACAAACCGAATAGACAGGTGCCCAGTCAGTACGAAGAACTCTTCTGAACCACGGGAAAGAAAGTTATCCAAAATGGCGTCGAATTCACATGGCCAAACATCGACAGAGGACACAAGTAAGCCCAGCGAACACACAAAGTTCAAAGGAACAAAAGATGATGACTATGGGTTTTATTTCTACCCAGAGAGGGGCATTCCAGAGGAGAAGCCGTCATTTTGGAAATCCATGTGGCAAGGACGAACAACAGGCCAGAAACTAAAATGCGAGACCAACGTTGCTTGGTGTATTGAAAATCGTGAGTGAGAACATTGTGGCAATTATATCTTATTATATCAGTGAATTATCGCATTTACTAGTTGTACAGACACTATATATAGCGTAAATCAAGTGTAATATCAATGGCTGTTGTCACTGGAATAGTTTCATCATGATCATGATCGTTGCACGTCCAAGGGCAAAACATCATCCAAGGGGGACAACTCTCTTATCAATATTCAGCATTAAGTGCTTGGCGAAAACGGATCACAGGATGTTTCAGTGAAATTCGAAGGGCCGTGAAATTGGCGTGAATATGAATGGATTTCACTAAACCGTTCTGTGCTCGGATCCTACTTGTCAATATTTGTGTCGGTAAGAGTTCCTCACGTTCTCCCATCCCAAATAATATGTATAAATATTCTAGAATTATAAACGAAACTTAACACAACAATTACTAGAGAACTCACAAAAAATGATTAAAAGTCCAAAATTTAAGTTAGGGCTAGGTTTAGGGTTATGTTTAGAGTTTGGTTTAGAGTTCGGGGAACAGAAGGAACTCTTTTCAAAATATCTAATAAAATTGGATATTGGATACTGGTTTTAAGTCCAATATTAATTGTTCCACGATTGTCTGCCCTTTCTTCACTGTTCAATGGAAAATCAAAAGAGACTCAGTCTCTGTCATTATCATGATTATCAGAACTGAGAGAAAGATCATATTATGGAAGGTACAGATGAATATTGGAAGACATTTCTTTTCATTTTACGGAAACACATGTTGATTCAACATATACTACCATAGAGTAATCATGCTAATGATTGTGATATTTGCAAATGCTTGAAAACTGTTTCAGACCCCCTGGTCAAGTTAATGATGAGAGCCCTGAAAAGCCATGGATGGTGAGTTAGCTATATATTTTCACAGTTGTGTGGACTTTTCCAGCATGCCTGCCATACACTATGAATTTAGTGCGGTTGTTTGACATGATTAAGGATAGAACTTAAAGATCTCATCTAAACAGTGTTGGTTAATCCTTTAATCAGTGTTGTTTTGCAGAATATTTGCAACTCATTCCTCTCTTGCCACACTGCCATACATGTTACAAAACATCTAATACTTTCACCATTTCACACCAGGATTTATGACTCTATCTTAGTTAATAATTACCTCAAGACTAGAAATGCCAAATGGGACTGTGATTGTTTTTAATAAAAATATTGCAATGTTGCTTGAATGACAGTGTATGTCTGATGTGTTATTTTTTTGTTGCAGTGCAGTGGACTTGACGCGTCATGTCTCCTGTGAAAAGTGCCGTGAGCGGGTCAATGGGGGATTTGATCCAACCACAAACCAAGTAGGTAATGCAGGTAGACCCAAGATCAGGTTGATATACCACCTGTTCCAATAACCTTTCCTCCATGTCTGTATGTATAGGAGACTAGCTAAGATACCCAGTTGCCTATGTTACTTGTTAAGGGAAAATCAGCTCAATAAAATGAATACTCTCAGTTGACAATCTGAAAGCTCAAATCATTAATATTCAGAATGAATCAACACTCTGTTATCATGGTTATTGTGAAAAGTTATTTCAGCCTTAACAGAGTGTATATAACTGCGTTGTACACTAATAGAGACTTGAGGCGTATTTTATGTAAATTTCGTTGCTTATCGCACAAATTGGGTGTCCAACAGTTGTGTTTCAATAAAGACAATGTCGATAATACTATAGCAATATGTATCAAGTGTCATTTAGATGTCGTAGAAGACGAATACCACTTTTTATTAGTATGTCCTTATTACCATACAAGTCGGATGCAGTTTATACCTGGATATTATCATATACATCCATCTGTCTTTAAGTTTAAGCAGTTGTTATGCACCAAAAATGTGAATGTTATTAAAAGTCTAGCAATCTATCTGAAGAAAAATCTACCTGTTTGACTGCTTATTGATGTACTGTATTTATGTATATGTATTGAATGCGCACAAACAAACAATTATGTATTTTTCGTACTCTGTGCCATGAGGCCATTATGCGTATAAACTCTCTCTATATGTATATTTCAGACTTACTTTGTTTTGTTTAACAGAATTTTGTCTCCCAAATTCAGTTTGGTAGGCTAAGAAAATCTGAAAAACAATAAATCAGAAGCAGGTATGTTTTTGATATCCACAAAATGTTGAGTTCAGAGAAATTGGGGTGGGAGGAATGACGATTTAATTTGTTTTATTTTGAAATGTTTAAAATAAGATTTCAGCAGGTTTTAATTCTAGTGTTTTAAATAATTTAGAGCTGACAATTTGTAAACCAGGTGTTGAAACAATCTGGCCTTATTTTGATGCTGATGTTTGTTGTTTTCAGGTTGTGGTGTGTCAGAACAATGCTACTAAGAGAAGCATCTGCTGTAATGTCTTGGCTCACGAGTTCATCCACGCATTTGATGCATGCAGAGCAAAAGTTAACTTCGAAAATCTTCGCCATCTTGCCTGCTCTGAGGTACTGTGACACTGAAGCTACGATTGTACTGTGATGATACAGCTCAGTTATATTAGTCCACTGTAGATTTGCCCTTTTTGGGATGATGGGTTAGAACTACACGGTTAGAAGTGATCGACTAGATCAGTTGGTGGGGTTTGAGCATTTTGTTGATTGGATGTCATCGTATGTCTGTCTGACTGACTGACTGACTGAGTTTGGTTTTATGCCGCTTTTCGTGGGGACACCAGAAATGGGCTTCACACATTGTACCCATGTGGGGATTCGAACCGGGTCTTGGCGTGACGAGCCAACGCTTTAACCACTAGACTACCCCATCGCTCTCATCAGATGTCAATATCATGGATTAATCGTCACAATATTAAGAGGTTATTACATGACAGTTCTCCTTTCGTCAGTCATATCAGCCCGAGACTACCATATGAACCCGAGGACCGATATGGTAGTCGAGGGCTGATATGACTGGTGAAAGGGAAACTGTCATATCCTAACCTTTTTATCATATACCTCATCTGTAAATATTGATACAGTTAAAAAATGGTAAGAAGAAAAAACTCATACTTTCACCATTTCGAGCAGACGATGCAAGAGACGTAGCTCTAAAATAAACCAGGTTCTGACCATTGACGTTTTGCGTGTATTCCTTCTGTACCAGTTTAGTAGAGGGCAATACGGCTGATATGGATTTTCGGCCCAAGGGCTCATATGGCTGATATGCATTTTCAGCCCGGGTGGTCAATACAGACATATGCCGACAGCCAGTATTGTATGTGCAAAATGGTCCCTATTATTGATAGGTATATGATAACAATCACTATTGTCTGGTCCAGTCTCAATAACAATGTATATACAGACCTCAATTATATGGGTGGAATACAATTTGAAATGTAAATCATGAAATAAACACTAGATTTGAGAACATATGAAAGACAGCTGGGTTGTTTTAGGAATTATTAATGTATTATTTGTCATGTGTACAAGGATTACACTTTTTGGAGGTGATGTGAATACTGTCAGTGTACGACATGATTAATGTTGGATTGAGAACACATCCATATTGCCAGGTTGTTGGAATGATTGCTTGTCTCTGTGCCAGATTCGTGCCGCCAACATCATGCACTGTTCCTTCATGGCAGCTGTGTCATCTGGAGATGCTTCCCCAATCAACATCAAGCAGAGGCATCAGGTTTGTAGTGTGAAACAATTAAAAAAAAATTGCATTTGCATTTGATTTTTTCTATTTTGATTTTATGCTTTCCTGTTTGATTGGTATTCCCTTTTCCTATTTGATTTTGTTTGTTATGCAAAATTTGTAATGCCCATCGTCTCAATTGGATAGGGTGGTCAGAGTTGATTAACGTAGATGTCCATGTCATCATACCTTGATGGAACCTTCATGAAGAATATCAAACACACAACTGTTTGTTTTTTTTCAGATATATATTCGCGATTAATGTATTGAAGCTACTGAAAACACATTCTTTTAAAGTATTTGTTATTAAATATGCAGCTTATTCTTAATCTGTTCTTTTAGCATGGAAGTAGGAATGCTTTGGGTAAACACCATTTCAGGTTAAGTCACCTGGAATATTAAATATTTGGGTAACTTGAAATTGTTTATGGAGTAACGGAATTTCCCATGGTGCAATGATTTAACTAAAGGAAGGATGTGCAATATATATTCCTGCAAAGTTTCTGCCAAGTCCTGGTCCATGGAATGGATCTCCATCCAACCATGCTTGTCATTTGAGGCGATAAACAGGATCAGGTGGTCAAGACTTGCTGGTTTGACTGATGCATGTCCCAACTGCATCAATCAATGCTCATGATGTCAATCACTTGCTTGTCTAGTCCTGGTTGATTAATTACAGGCTCACAGACATAGTGATACATGTCATTGTATCCCAAATGCGTTGATCGATGCTCATGATGTCAGTCACTGGATTGTCTAGTCCAGGTTTGATTAACTCCAGGCTCATTGGTGGCAGTGGGGTAGCCTAGTGGTTAAAGGGTTGGCTCGTCACACCCAAACCCGGGTACTATTCCCCACATGGGCACAATGTGAAGCACATTTCTGGTGTCCCCAAGCTTGATATTGCTGGAATATTGCTAAAAGCGGCATAAGACTAAACTCAGTCCAGGCTCAGACATAGACATATTTCATTGTATCCCAATTGCTTACATTCTTTTTCCCACAGAGGTTACTCCTATCATATCTTCCTACGTAACCTCTGTTCTAATATCAGCCCCTTTCATGGTGTGAGCTGCTCAAGACTCGTGATTGAGGCAATCAGATTTAGTTGTGCAATCAGCGATGTTGTTTCAAAAGTGATCATTCGCAAAGGCCCCGGTAATTTCCGTGACGGCGAGAAAACTAAACTTCTTCCCCTGCGGCGACCAGCGCAAACGTTTCTTCTAGACAGAACTCAGTCATGTTATGGCGGATCAGTGGCGTCTCCATCAGCCCTCGCTGACAACGGACAAGCTAGCCATTAAACGCCTGTGTGTGTAACATCAACACAAGTCCCGGCAGATGGGGGATATTTGTGGCCCCACATTTGCTTGTGTTAATCAAGTTGAATCTAAGTCGATGTAACACGTGTTCTGATTGGATAGAAAGAAGGGAGATAATTCATGTTCGATCTTTTGCCGCTAGGGGATTTTACGAGAACCGTGGAAATATGGCGATATTAGGAACAGAGGTTCGAGGGAAGATATGACAAATAACCTCTGTGGGAAGAGAATGAATTGCTTAATGAATGCTCATGATGTCAATCGCTGGTCCTGGTTCAGGTATCTACAGACCTGTGTCTAATATTGCTGAATGCAGCTTTAACAAACTATATGTGTTGCAGGAGTGCGTCAAGTCTAAAGCCATCATGTCCGTGTTGATGGTGAGGAACGTGACTCATGAGGAGGCCAGCCAGGTGGTGGACAGTGTGTTTGACAAGTGTTACAAAGACTTGGAACCAGTTGGAAGGCAGCCGAGGAAAGGATCACGGGATCCAGACCGTGCACTGATAGAAGGTGCTTATTATGGCTACACTGGATAGCAGGAATCAGGATTTTATGTGTGCTTCAGTTGACCTAGTGGACGATGTATGCGTGTACCCCATGTTTGTAATGGCTGATCTGACCAGTGACTGTTCTGGTTCCTCTGCTCACATGCTGACCTGTCATCGGTTCCCAATTGCGCAGATCGATGCTCATGCTGTTGATCACTGGATTGTCTGGTCCAGACTCGATTATTTACAGACCGCCGCTATATATAGCTGGAATATTGCTGAGTGCAGCGTCAAACTAAACTCACTCACTCACATGCTGACCATTAGTTCTGAGTTTATGGAACATTAAATCTGTATTAGCATTTGCCAGTTTTTCCATGGTTACAACTAGGGATCTGGTGGTCCAAATGAGTACCAAGTGAGGCATGTTAATGGAACTTGGATGGACGCGACTGATGTAGAAGCCCAGATGTTGGACCAGATATGTAGAGTGCTGATTGTCACAAATGCAGATTCAATGTCACTTTGCATTTTGCGATAAAGATGTGATATTGCTCACTTAGCATAAAACATTATTCACTCACCAGTACACAGTGGCTGCAGCTGGAATAAAAAGTAACAAATAAATAAATAAATAAATAATATATGAAAATGTATTTTGTGAAATGCTTTGTGACTTTGAATGTGATATTTATAAAAGCTACACAAAGTAGCTTCCATTTTCTTTCAGCTGAACAAGAGTGTAACATTCTGTAGCATACGCTTTGAACTCCACATTGATGTTCTGTGCCCAAAGTAAAATGTATCACGCATTATACATTAAGATTATTTATTTATGAAATAAACAGACAAATTACAAAATCAAGGTGTGTTTATTACTGAACCAGCAGTAATGGTACAAATGTGTAAATGTCATATATATCACAAGCATGAATGTCAAACAAAATGAATGCTGATTTGATTTCATGTAACCATGGTAACAGTATTCAAAACAGTATTGCAGTGAACAGATAAGATGAGATGTGGTAAATTACACATCAAAGAAACCTCAGAGTTGATTCTTGATTATCTTGAAAGCAGCCTTGATAATCCAGTTTAATATTTATTTCTCAAAATAATTTTAGAAAAACTGACTCAGATTACCTGAATTTACAATTCCAAGGCTCTATATCGTAACCAGGGAGGCATCATGGCCGCAGTATTGTGGGATATACGCAGTTGTGACATTCCTTCCGTAAATTCAAATATCAGTGCACCAAATTTCACACATAGTTCACATGGTACATAGTGTGAGATATGACTTGAACAAATATAGCAATATGAACAATACTTCAGTAATCAATGTCAATCACATACTGTGGCTTGTATCTTGAAAAGAAACAATCAGCTAATTGCAATATCCCAAGGTATCTATGGTCAAAATCGAACGTTCTGGTTGCTTTCTCAGAATTCATGAGTTTTTCCTGAAGAGCATGATCATGTGAAAAACTTTTCCTGAAGTGCTCAAATAGTGAGGTCATAAACTTGATTAATATCGTAAAACACAGGGATGGCAACAGGAAAATCTATTTTCAGCTGAAAACTTAATATTGTCTCATCGAGTTGAGGGTTTCTCAATGGATTTAGACAATTCACAATTGAACAATTTGAAATAAAATCAGCGGAAATGCGCGGATCAGCGGAAAATTGCCATCCCTGAAAACATGTTGGCCCAGCTGGATGCATCCCTGCATCATGAGATGGATTTTGATAGACAGGATGATCAAGGACGTACTATTTCTATTTTCAATTCAGTTTCCTTCTTATAGGGATGACTAGGAGCTCAAATAAAGGAGTGAGGTCTCTGACGCTTTTAACAGTATTCCAGTTGTATCAGGCGCCACTTTGGTGAGACCCATGAACATTGGTATGGCGCCGACAAACAGCAACATAACGGATGAACTGGGAATTAACCCAAAATGTTAAAATGATGCAACTCCTCACAATGAATTACAGAACTTCAGGTGACTTTGCTACATATAGCTCCTGAAATAAAGGGGAAAAAGGTTTGAAGAAAACTTCTTGGATTGACCAGCAACCCATGCAGTATCACTTCAACACTTCAAGCATGTTTCTAAAATATCACCAATTAAGTTGCCTTTACCAAGGACGGAGAAACATTGTGCATAGATTCCCAAGGGTTAAATACAATCATTGTTTTAAATATATTATTGATCTGGAGCTTGACATCAAAGTCCAGATATTCACAAATAACCACCTACATTAAACGTGTAGAAAGTGTTGCATCATTTGTTTCTGAAATAAGTTGTATAGATATAGGATGTACAATATTCCACAGATGGAATGTCCTATTTAATGTCATTTCAATCAACTGTGAAATAATGTTGCAAAAATATCATATTTTTGTTCTCATTCACTGTCAAATATGATTATGATGACACATCCATATTTTTCTGTCAGATATGAAGTGGAATTTGTATGGAATATGAACAAGATTCTCAATGATTAGAAAGATGCATCATACATACAAACATATATTACAAAAGCTGATATGTAAAACTGAAAAGTGAGTATTTGTAATCATAATAGTGTGGAGTTTCTGTGGTAGACGTGGAGATTGAGGACTAGCTGATGAAACATCAAATGAGCCTACGAGTAAGAACCTGCAAGAAACTGCGAAAAACAAAATGTTCCCAGTTAAATATACGGACAGCTGCTGCAGAAGTGAGGTCAAATATTGGCCTCGGGGCAGTAATAGATAAATTTTGCTGTGGTGATAATGGTCCATCCTCGATAATCTCCAGGGTATACGTTACAATCACTCTCCACTATACCCTGGATGCATCCACGGCTTGGGGTGATGATTTTATTACCTCCCTTGGCTGGCTCCGCATTCTCACAGTAGCCAATCAGCTAAGCCGCCGTTACAGCCAAGCTTGCCAGTGTCAAAGATAGCGGTCGCAGTCGCGAAAGTTTGTTCGCAGTGCCACACAGATTTTTTTGGAAATAATAAAGACAAATTCACAGATGTGAAACTTTAAAAACTATATGAAAGACCTCCTTCTACTTCTTTCAGAGTACCTCTGCATCAATTGTGTTGCCAAGTTTAAACGGTTAGATAATTTGAGTAGCGAAAGTGAGTTGTGATTGGTTCGCTCAACTTCCCAGCATAGGCACTTGATATGATAAAAAGCCAGCCAAGGGAGGTAATAAAATCATCGCCCCAAGCCGTGGATGCATCCTGGGTATAGTGGAGAGTGATCGTAACATATACCCTGGAGATTATCGAGGATGATAATGGTCAAGACCTGATACTTCCATCAAAGACGGCTAAGACGAGGGTGCATTTAGGCACTAGTGCATCACAATATTAAGTATCAAATTTGCTGTAATTTGGCACCGAGCTCTCAAACAAGGTCCCCGACCACCTTCTACACCAATCTACTTTCACTAAATGTTTACATCAGTTGGAATTTTCTGTGGACTTTACCAATTTTTTTCACCGAAAACAGCAGTGTAGAAGGGGCACATAATTATCTAGTAACTATTATTAAGAGAAGGTTTGAACTAAGTCTACTCCTAACCCCTTGAAATTGAAACAGATGTAACTTTTGTTTGGTTTTGATAAGAGTGTCGTTCTGTCAATTTTCTATTCACCCAATGTGTTCACTACTTTGCAGCCTTGAATCCCTATCTAAAAATATAAATATACTACTAAATAGTTACGGACTATGCTAATCTTTCAAATTACTACAGATCTTCAATAATCTGTTACTATATCAATATGAAAAGAATAACATAGTCCTTTACTCCTTTTTAGTATCATAATTATAAACTGTCTTGAAAATTTAGTGGATTTCAAATTGCGCATTTTGATCAGAGATTGTTTTCTTTGCTTCTACATACTCCTCACACTTTGCTCTGAGTAGACCTCTGAATGTATTTGGCATTGTTTTTAACACTCTGCCATTTCTTCGGGTGCAGTTTGAAGTAAACCAGTGTCCCTATGACGATGATGACAATGACGATACATGCGATGACTATCCCGACGACCATGCCGATGTTGCTGGAACTTCGTGCTACAAACACGCCCCCACGCTGGGACTGGAACTTGGCCATGTTGCCATCGATACTGGCATCCACTCGTGTCCACGTCGCGAAGTTGTCGGCGTTGGACCTGTAGACGACGATGTCACTGCTGCCACTGTCAACCTTCAGCTCAATTGTGAACGTATTGTCGTCTGTGGTGATCTGGTTCTGTGGGTACACCACCAGGAAGTTGCTGACATAGTCACTGCCGAGCTGAAACAGGAAAACAAAGCCATGAAAATATGTCCAAACTGCTAGAATGCTGTAATGGAGTTCTAAGTTTTGCATGTTTTTTTCATTGCAAGTCATCTTGCTAATCAACTGTTGTTTGGTTATCCCAAAGGGTGAGTGAGTATGGTTTTACACCACGTTTAGCAATATTCCAGCAACATCACGGTGGGGGGATCTCAAAACTGGGCTTCACACATTGTACCCATATGGGGAATCAAGCCTGGATCTTCAGTGTGGCAAGCTTTAACCATTAGGCTATCCCACCACACCCGTTTTTCCCCAAAGGAGGACAGTAGAAACACCTATGGTAATGGCTAAACCATACTGTACACTTGGTCTGATAGCGATGTTGGCAAAAGTGTTAATGATTATGTCTCCAGGCCAAATAGTTTCCAGTGGAACGAAAATTGACAGAAAATATTAAAGAAACGGCCTGTGGATGTAAAATACTTGGAAACAATTTCCACTTGAAGTTTCTTCCCAGGTTATTACTTCCCATGGAAAGAATCTTTAACAATTCTTTAACAAAAGCATCCCTATTTAAACCATGGTGTTCACAAACATCTTTGGTATCGACCCAGATCCATAATGTCTGCTTACATTCATAGTCTGGTGTGCAGCCTGCATCTGCCTGTCTCCTTCCTCTCGACTCCATTCTTCCAGTCGCAGTTTCTGCAGTCCATCAAAGGCTCCTTGGCTCACTTCAACCTTGGCATTGCTAAAAACAAGAGAAGATATATGGACTGCTTAACAGAGATGACTTGCGAGGACAAGTTTTAAAAGTTTATAGAAATTGTATTAACCCATCTTAAGGCACTATGACAGATCAACTCTTTGGCAAGAAGATCTGAAAGATAATGGCTTTGAATTTAAAGAATAATGAAGCTAGTGGAGGGTGAAATCCAAAAGAACACCTAATGACACCTACCCACTTGGCAGAGTGACATCACTAAAACACCTAATGACAAGTTCCTACTATAGTCTGTTTGCAGTGAAAACGTACCAATGAAAATCACTTTAAATAAAAAAGTAAATCGTATAAAGTGAAATTAAGATTGCGAAATCCTCATAATTTTACCTTGCCAATTGAACATGTAAATATCAAAATTTTATTCACCTTAGGATAAAAGTTGTTTAACAAACGATCATAGTTTCAAATCACTATTATTGGTTTGTATTACAAGGGGGTAAGCGAATTAGTTGGAACAGTGAAACAAATGCACGTGCAGTACTTGTTATTGGTGTTTCATTTAATGGATAAACAACGTTTATCCTTGAATAAAAATCTGAGATTTTAATGTTCAATTGGCAAGGTAAAATTATGAGGATTACGCAATCTTAATTTCACTTTATCCGATTTACTTTTTTGTTTAAAGTGAAATTCATCGATGCTTTTTCACTACAAACAGACTATTGGCAGGGAGACAACACTAGAACACCTAATGTCACCTACCCATTACGCAGAGTGACATCCAGTAGAATACATAATGACACCCACCAACTAGGCAAGGAGACATCACTAGAACACCTATATACTAGACAGGGAGCAACTTCTAAGACACCTAATGACACCTACCCACTTGACAGGGTGACACTGCTATGACACCTACCCACTAGGCAGGGTGACACTGTTTAGACACCTAATGACACCTGTCCACTAGGCAGGGTGACACTGCAAAGACACCTAATGACACCTGCCCACTAGGCAGGGTGACACTGCTATGACACCTGCCCACTATGCAGTGTGACACTGCTAAGACACCTGCCCACTAGGCAGGGTGACACTGCTATGACACTTACCCCCTATGCAGTGTGACACTGCTAAGACACCTACCCACTAGGCAGGGTGACACTGCTAAGACACCTACCCACTAGGCAGGATGACACTGCAAAGACACCTAATGACACCCACCCACTAAGCAGGGCAACACTGCTATGACACCTGACCACTAAGCAGGGCAACACTGCTATGACACCTGCCCACTAAGCAGGGTGACACTGCTATGACACCTGCCCACTAAGCAGGGCAACACTGCTATGACACCTGCCCACTAAGCAGGGTGACACTGCTATGACACCTGCCCACTAAGCAGGGTGACACTGCTATGACACCTGCCCACTAAGGGTGACACTGCTATGACACCTGCCCACTAAGCAGGGTGACACTGCTATGACACCTGCCCACTAAGCAGGGCAACACTGCTAATGCACCTAATGACACCTGCCCACAAGGCAGGGTGACACTGCTAAGACACCTAATGACACCTACCATCTAGACAGGGTGACAATGCTAAAACACCTAATGACACCTATCCACTAGGCAGGAAGACCACCAGAACACATATCGACACCTACCCATTATCCATCTACAGTCAGTAGGACACCTAATGACACCTACCCCACTAGGCAGGAAGACCACTAGAACACATATCGACACCTACCCATTATCCATCTACAGTCAGTAGGACACCTAATGACACCTACCCACTAGGCAGGGTGACACTGCCGCCCATATAGCCGATGGCCTCGTATCTCACAGGGTAGGGGTACACCATGATGCGAGCCTTCTGGTCCCGGTTAGAGAAGTCATTGTTCCTGGTGGACATGAAGTGGTAGGTTCCTAGCTGAGTTATCTGCCTTGGGTCAAGGTTGAAGTATGTCCCTGCATCATCCAATTGTGACATCTCACCACCGAACTGGCCTACAAGAGGCGAGAAATGTACAATCATTGAAGAAATTCCGGACTTTATAAAGAAATGTGTCCAGTTTGCACAAATGAAGAGAACAAAAATGTTGAATGTCTAGTAACCTAAAATAATACATATTTTTCTATACAATTTCTTGACAAGAACCTTACATGCTCAATAACTACTCTCTAATTGAAGTTGTTATCAAATCCTACAGTACTCAAAACAGTTCATTGTTTATATAGATCTCATATTTTCCATAAACGGCTCTGAAATAATTGATTGGGAGATTCTTGGATCCTCAATTTGCAAGTCCCTGACCGATAGCCATATAGCTGGAATGTTGCTCAGTGCAGCGGTAAACAACAGACAAACAAAACTAATAGATTAGTGTTGGGAATTGGTCAAAATCTCATAATTAATGATTGGTTCATTACAACCGATCAATCATCGAAAATAATTGGTTTGCATCTTTTATGAAATGTTCCTGTTATCTTTGTTAATGCACATACACACAAAAAAGAAAAAAACATGTAGTAATTTTGGTGTTTTGCAAATTGCCCAAAATCCATTGGCAAATTTCGCATATTTAAAGGATGATTAGTATGTTAGGAACACAGATTTCCTGGATTCTTTAAGATAAATTCAATCATGACTTGGAACTAGCTTGTAGTGCTTATGAAATGTAAATTTAGTGACACAGACAAAACCAACCTTGTGTAAAATATTGTTGATGCAAACAAGTGTTCCAAAATTGGTTGTGTTCGATTCTGAGAAAACACAATCGATTGCGTGGTCGTTTAGGCACTGCGACCAATCTTCGATTATTTCAATTAATCAGACCACCACTATAATAGATACAATATTTCATGAATATAGTTAGCCTGGCTGGACTAATTAAGCCAATCTAAACTAAGAAGAACAAAACTCTACCTGTGCTGAGGAGGGCCAGTTTTTCTACATCATCTTTTCCCAGACCCAGAAAGGTGTCATTTGTCACATGTTCTGGGTAATTAACACCAAAATGTCCCCGTTTCACTCCAGGTCCAAAGGATGCCCCACTGCCTTCTGGGTATTTTTTTGAAGACAGAAGAACAATGTTGTTCCGGTCTGTGCCAGCCAGGCCGTTTCCATCATTGCCTCGGTTGTTGGTGTTGGAGCCTGTCCACCTGACAAATCAAAGTATTTGCTTTAATATGTATGCACTCAAAATTCTAAACATATCCTGAAAATTTTGCCATTTATTTTCTCCGATTAATCCAATCCACCTAAACAACTTCAATCCAAATCTGATAATTTGATCTACCCAAATGTTTTATGCTTAATCCTAACATAAATGATTATTTAGATTGATGCATAAATGCCCCCAAACTTAAAGGTCACATGCAACCAAAAAATCAAACATAATTAAAACACAATTATCACTTATTCATGACATATAATATACATTGCTGGTTATGAAAAAACATATAAACAAAATTATAAGCCGCAATCGCAAATCAAAAGTGCAATATTTTGTACTTGGGTTTACTTCCCAAGAAGCGAAGCAGCGGGATACGAAACCCAGTCAGAGTGGGTGGGTGTGCACTCAAGTGTGACAGCTGGTTCATTTGCAGATGCCCTCCACGGCTCATTGTGTGTGTATATATAGAAATGTTGGGTTTTGTAAATACATGCTCATTTTTTTGTGTATAACATTTTGCAATCAACAGACATCATAACATGTCATGTGTTCAAGTATCACACCTGCCTGTCTGTGTAATTACATAATGTGACAGAGACCGAACTTCGAGGGCCATAAATCAATGCGTTTTGTTTATGGTGTATAGCCTGATTGGTGTTAAGTTCAAATTGCATGTGGTCAGTGATCGCAGTTGTGTATTGAATATTGTCATTAGCAGACAGGCAGGCAGACACACAGGTGTCAATAAAACAAGACATTGAGTTTTGTCTGTGACAACGACATATCTATATCACAGTTAGAAATTGTGTCAACGCTAAATAATGACATTGCTTTTAAGTATCGAACGCGTGTGGTGAAATAGACAAATGAAATTATATAAACAGTTTATTTACTGTCATAACATATAAAAGCTCGCTTCTGTGAGATATCAACAAAACATTAGGAAAATAGCTCACACCAAAGCCTTCACCGACAGCCCGCCTTCCAAGTTGGCGCAAACCTATTTCACTGCACACATGCTATGAGCGCAGCCCAGCTGTTGAAACCAGTTTTCCCGAAAAGTGAATCGTTTGAACTCGATTTCGCGGTTTTTTTCATCGCATTATTTTTCAACTTTATAAGTTGAATTTGCATTTTTGATGATTTGTTTCGTAAGTCCGCATCGAAAGGTATCAGAATCTGCAAAGTTGTGTTTTACGTTGCATGTTACCTTTAACTTTCATTAGCCTAAGAATATTCCTTGTCATTCTCAATATCTCCATTGTTAGGATGTTGGTAAAACTACACTTCATAGAATTTCTCAGGTTCTCACAATCTCCAAAACTACCCGTCCTTGCCTTAATTTGATTGGTTACAGTACTAGGTCTTGTGTACCAATCAGAATGTGAGTTACAACCAGACTCAATGTTGGGAAGACAATATCAACAACAAAGGAACCAGACCCGTTCATTATGATTGAGTTAGTGGCAAATTCAACATTGAAATGCTGATTGACACACAAAAGAAAGTCCTTAAACATTGTTTCAGTGGAGAGGATGTCTTGATGTCCAGGTGGTGGCTTTGGTGTCTAATTAATACATGTTACCTCCCTTACCCTTTCCTTGTTGACGTTTGATTGGTCAGTAAAATTTAAATGAAAATCAAGGGTGGGTAATTTGCAATTGCAAGAACCACGGAAATGGATCCAGGTTTAATGTAGGATTTATCTAAATAAAAGCCCTGGATCCTGAGCCACAAAGCGTTCGTAACGTTACGACCTGTCGTAATTCTATAGTTTATCACTGGCTTACGAATGTCGTAGCGCTACAAACGTTTAGTGGATCAGGGTCCTGGAGATATGAAGGATGATTCCACATCAACAACAAAGTTCTTACTGGAAGTGCACATATTCCCCTGTCCCCATCTCCAGCGTGTTGGGTACGAAGTCGTACTCCACAGAAGGGTACACCTGCACGATGTTGCCGCGTTTGCCCCGAACGTTTAAGTTGTGGATGGTGCTCGTGCTGTCAATATGGTCTGGACGAGGACGTATTGCAAATGTATGAGACCTGAAAACAAACATCACTGCCATAAATTTTCATCATCATCATACAAACATCAACAAACTTCTATGGATAAACTTCTATGAATAAGTAAGATGCCTAATTAAATGTTTCAATATATGAAAAGACTGGGTGGCATGTACGATTGTACATTCAAATGGTTTCTTTGATGAAAACTACGACTGGTCCAAATGTCACAATGTTTGGTGCAAGATAACGGCATGGGAGCAAACCAATATTTACTTCCTCACTCACCTACATAATGTTGTAAATGGGCGTCTGGGCCTTTATCTAAGATACACTGATTATTGTTATTACTGCTACCCATTGTTATTTACTTTCAGATTAAAAAGTTATAACAATGACATTATCTGCAAATGTCCCTCGCACCAGTTTACAACCCACCTGTCTTGAAATACTCGGCCATATTCGGCAGTGTTGATGGCTAGCTGAAGACCAAAGTCTGCATCGTCAAACAGCACCACCTCTGGGTTATTTTTAAACTTGTAACCCCTTGTTCCAGCTGCTTCCTCGGTGGAGAAGCCATACTTGTCGGCCATATTGATTTTGGTTGGGTTTCCATTCTGACTAGAATTTGTGTTCCAGCCGTCGTAGTCATTGGTTGAGACATTGTATCTGATCCTCATGGCACACTTCTCGTGGCTGATGTATGGGACAGTCCAGTTATACAGTAGGGGGTGACCGCCAATGCCGTTGCCAAGGTGATTGTCACGAGAGAAATCTGTCTCCCGACAGTCAGGGGGAGGTAATCCATGTGAAGGAAATTCCTTCCACTGACCCTTGACTCCATTGGTCTCAAGTTGCTGGCAAAAGAGTTTTGGGATAACTGTTTATTCATAACATGATAGGAATAACATGATAAGAATAATGATAAGAATAATCAGAGGCAAAAAGGTTAAAAATATATCATAGTCTGTCCCCATAAAGTAATCTTACCACTAAGCTTATTGTAAGCCTGTGTTAAAGTATGAAACTTATAATCATATTAGTGCACAGATGTCTTAGGGAACAGAGCCCTTGATAATATATATTAAATTCTAAGTCACCATGAGCCATATTTGGTACATTCATACTGCCTGTTTTCCGTACTGGTTAGTGGATTGTTTTCCCTTAGTGAGTCTCATGACAATCAATCCCCTAAATAACCGGTCCCCAGATAATGCTTTTTAGTTTTTACTCAATGCCCTCCCTCCCCTTGCATGCACACACCTCATGTAATAAATGATGAATTGCTAAGCAATATTTACTTCATCGTTTCATGGTTGTGATAAACTATATTGCACCATACTCCCTCTTACCCTTTGTCATTTTTCCATGCCATCGAGCCCCATCCCACCCATGCAGTAACATTACCAGTCCCTAAGATTTGCCCGTCATATATTGAGTGAAAATATTGTACATTTCCATACACTGATATACAAAACCATAACGTCAACACAAGCAAAGTGTCACTCCTTGATTCCCTCCCTACATGACTTGTCTCGGAGAAGACTATCATGATGACATGAAGTCAGAGGGTGGTTGGGTAGTTACCTCGCAGTCATCCTTGTTGTTGGGTATAGCGGAGGTGCTGTCATTGTGGAGGACGCAGGCCCAGCGCGACTTGACGTTCTCACTCTGGGCTCTGTAGTACAGGCACCGCTGGGCATCATTGGTCATCACTGCTATGTCCTGGGGACACCGAAGATGAAATGAAATAACTACTTGATACTCTGTGTGTGTGTGTGTATGCATGCATGTGTGTGTGTATCAATTGATTTTCCAAGTTATCAAGCAGTAAAAATAGTTTAGTGAAACTTCATATTTGCTTAATGATGGGTAGGGGTGGGTATTGCAGGGAATTTTCATATTGCGATATATTGCAATGCGAAAGCTTGTATTGCGATATGTATTGCAATATATTGCAAGAAATTGTTTTGACAAAAAATTACTTACAATCGAGTTAATGCTTGATTTATAAAGCAAAAACACAACAACATCACAATGCTTGATTAGGCTTTAATAATAACTTTTAATCATGAAAAAATAAAAATGTAAATAAGGTTTCGCACAAATGAAACAAGGAAAGGAACAATCGTAAAAACGGAAATATCCGAAGATGTCTGAGTGTTACGAAGTTTTCCGAATGCATGTCAAATTACCGGTTTTCGATCAGTGTATCACAATACGTATTGTATTCATGTTTGAACCGGTAAATACCGGTAAACCGGTTATATTGCGCGGCCCTAATGATGGGTGTATGTATTGCATTCTCACCTGTATCTACAAAGCAATGTATGGCGTGCCGGAAGGGTATGGCTAATCATACACACAAACATACTCATGACTGACTGACTGACCGACTGAGTTTAGTTTTACGCTGCTTTTAGCAATATTTCAGCAACATCCGCGGCGGGGACACCAGAATATGATATGAATATACATGACTTTCTTTGTTTGTTGTTTAACGCCACACTCAGCAATATTCCAGCTATATGGCAGTGATCTGTAAATAATCAAGTCTGGACCAGACAATCCAGTGATCAACAGCATGAGCATTGGTCTACACAATTTTGATACGATGACATGTGTCGACTGAGTCAGCAAGCCTGACCACCTGATCCCATTAGTCTTACGACAAGCATGGGTTACTGAAGACCAATTCCAACATGGATCTTCACAGGTCCTATAAGGGAATACATAATATCATAGATATTGCGACACTTTGTTCCTTGTGTATGTAATAGTTTTATTTAGTTTTTACATGTATTTTTTACTTAAAACTTGTAATGTAATGTATTGTATGTACTGAATCATGTGCCTCTAATAGTGATACAATACCGCAGTGCTGTATTGTTACACCACTAGAAGCCATTGTATTTCTGTATATGAAAAGATTATCCTAAATGCAAAAAATAAAAATATCGTTATTTTTTATTAACAAATTCATGTTGTGTTTTGTATGCATAAAAAACACATATTTCAAATTAATTCTTATTCCTAAATGCAAAAATAAATAAAAATATCGTTATTTTTTATTAACAAATTCATGTTGTGTTTTGTATGCATAAAAAACACATATTTCAAAGTTATTCTTATTCCAGGAGACAGCTGTTGCACAAAATCAATTGATCAATAGGAATTACCATAAGCAGACCTACAACATGGTAACAAACATGACTACGCCTACAGTAACCCTTCCCTAACAACTGCTGGCTATGGTGAGTCAGTCGTGAAGATCTTCAAATTTATTGATGATATTCAGTCATTTAACAGCTGGTCATAGTAATCAAGTCTGGACCAGGATAAATCTATGGCAGTAAAAGAGTTGCTTAGTTTAGCAAACATGGGCTTGGAGTGAGTGAGTTTAGTTGTATAATGTCCCACTCAGCAATATTCCAGCTATAGGGTGGCAGTCTGTAAATAATCAAGTCTTGACCAGACAATCCAGTGATCAACGTCATGAGCATTGATCTAAGCAATTGGGATACGATGACATGTGTGAACCAAGTCAGTGAGCCTGACCACCCGATCCCGTTAGTCACCTCTTACGACAAGCATGCGTTACTGAAGACCAATTCTGGGTCGGCAGTAAAAGGGACACATCATTTCATAGTCACTAGGGTTCAAAGACACATGTCATCTGACTGTATTTATTGATTAGTGGTGGCATGACCAAGTACCAACAACAAACTCAGATGCCATTATGCCACAGCTAAGAATCAACATTTTAACTCCTAGCAAGGATACCCATGTAGATCTGGTTTAGAATCAGTCTTCAGCAACCAATGCTAGTTGTAAAGGCATGGCATGGAAGTGGATGTCCAGGCTTGCTGATGGTTGATGCATGCCATGATAGATTGGTGCTCATGATGTCAACCACTGGTTAGTTCAGTCAAAACACTTGATTACTTAGACAACCGTCATGGAGCAGGAATATTACTGAGGTCAGGTGAAATTGGGTTTTACGTCGTGCTTGAGAATATTTCGCTCATATGACGACATGTGCATGCATGTGTATGTGTATGTGCGGCTGCTATTACTAGCCCAGACTCAAGCTGGTTTTATAGTGCTAGCCCACTGAGATACTATGCCGCAGTGAAGCATGAATACCCCACTCAGACACATTATACCGATTCAAAGCCGACCAGTCCTTGTTGTACCCATTAATGCCGAAGCCAGGCAGGGACCAACAAGTACCATATTTTAACGTCTTTTGGTTTGACTTCGGCAGGGGATCGAACCAGCGACCTTCTGCTCTCTGGTAGGACGCTCTTACCACTACACCACGGAGGCGGTCAGGAATATTACTGAGTGAAAGGGTGAGGGATTGATTGACCAAACAAACAAACAAAACTGTCACAACAAGCATGGGTTAGCGATAGCTATGAGGTACTTGAAAACCTACCCTTCCCTGGGTTTATATTTTACCCAGAATCACTGTCTTTTATGGGGATCTAATCTGATTCATTATCTTCAACAGGAGATCTACTTTATACAGAATCCTCTGATATGATTTTTATGGAGGAGCATGTACAATGTGAAAGCCCCCACCCCTACCCCACCAAAAAAGAAATTATATACAATGTATGTGAGCCCACCCTGCCCCCTGCATGACATGTAAAAAATCAAAGACGACCCCCCTAGTATGTGCATACAAAACTGATGATACCCCCACCTTCCCCCACACACCTCCCAGCACAAAATGGGTGACCCCCCTTAAAATCATCATCACCCCCCTAGTCATGAATTATGAACGGTCCCTTATGACCCTCAACAAGGAGAATTTGATTCAGGTGCCTACCTTCCATGGTGTTGGGTGCCAGTATGGGTAGTAATCTCTCTCCTCCGGGCACTCGTACCCATATCGAGTTCCTCCTGGATTCTGTCTTGTGTTCCGAGCAAACTGGCGGTTCCTGTTGTTTAGATTCTGAAACAAAACCAACATGAATCTGAAACATGCTGCATCATAAAATCAACACCAAACAAGTTCCCAATATCTGTACAAGGTAAAAAGATAAATGGAGATGTATTTTCTGTGAAAGACTGTCTAGGTACTGGAAAGATATGAATTAGTGCCGCACCATAATATATTAAAGTTATCTTATTAGGGCTCCTTGCCTCTATTCCGCCAATTTTTGTACCAAACATAACTCCTAACCAATGCTCCGAATCGCTTACAAAATATCACACAGATGTGCACCGAGGTGTAGATATTCCCCTTAAAAATCTCTAGGCTCTAGGCCCAATAGCAAAGGGGAGATAATTCAAAATTAATTCCAAAATTTCAAAGTTAGACAGCAAATATCTTAAGAACTACTTGTTCCAACACTTCCAAATATCTTGTACAGATGCACAATCGAATTCCCAACAATTGTGCCTGGACGGGCTAAACATACCGTTTGGCAGTTATTTTTGTTTTCAGTTTTTGGCCATGTTTTTCAGCAGTTTCCTAAGTAGTTTGCTCCCAAAATGTGCAAATTCTGCCAGTATGGTAGATGAAGGCTTGGTGATTCCAGAACACTAATTGTTTTGACCGTAGACCCAAGAACAACTGAGATACAGCCTTTTAAAGAGGAAACTATTTCTTCTCCGGAACTTCTTAAAAGATACATGACCCCCACGACCCCAGCTTTATTTGGAAGATCCACTCGCCTGTCAAAAACGTGTTCTGGCTCAGTTTTGGACGATTATTTCTAGCCCTCAAATACAATAGATAGAACTAAAGCCAAGGAGCCCTCATCGTTGCTTGCAACTACATTTAATAAATATTAATAATTAATATCTACAAAAATGAAAATAAATAAATATAAAAAGAATCCAGAACAATTCCTAATTTCCTGGAGTGAAACCAGACACAGATTATTGCCAGTGAAACTAGATAAAGGTAAAGAAGTTAGAGCTGTATTCTGTGATGTAAGTAAAGCTTTGGGCAAATTATGGCATAACCAAATTTTTGTTGAACTTAAGGAGTATGGTATTAACAAAAATCTATTGAATGGTTTCTCAATTACCTACAAAACCGTAAAGAGAGGGTAGTAAGAAAAGGCTCCCAATATGACCTAAACCTAGTACATGCAGGCATGCCTCAGGGATCAGTGTGAGGACCACTGTTCTTAGTTCATATTAATGAGGTGAAATTGGGTTTAATGTCGTGCTTGAGAATATTTCGCTCATATGATGATGTGCATGCGTGTGTATGTGTATGTGCGGCAGCTTGTACTAGCCCGGACTGAAGCTGGTTTTATAGTGCTAGCCCACTGAGATACCATGCCGCAGTGAAGCATGAATACCCCACTCAGACACATTATACTGACACTGAGCCGACCAGTCCTTGCTGTACCCATTAATGCCGAGCGCCAGGCAGGGACCAACAAGTACCATATTTTAACGTCTTTTGGTATGATGCGGTCGGAGATCGAACCCGCGACCTTCCGCTCTCCGGGCGGACGCTCTAACCACTACACCATGTAAGCGGTCTCATAATAATTCTCTAGCATCTGGGTCTTCGTAAAATCAAACACAAAAGAGATGTACTTTCTAAAGAAGGACCCTAAGTACTGGTAAGATTGACACAATGGCGTGAGAGTCAACTACATTTTCAGTCAGATGAAAAAACAGACCTGGTCTGCAACAAAGAGGCCTTTGTTTCGTTGTCGCCGTTTACAGTTGTTGTAGTAGTTGTAGTCTTCATGCATGCCATAGGTGCGGTCGCTGTTGCAGTCATTGTTGAGGCACTGAGCATTCATCTCAGGAATTGTCCTATGGAAGAACAAGAACTCATAAATAGCAATAGCAAGGAATGGCAAAAGCTTACCAATATGTAATGTCTTTGAACAGTATTTACAGTGATACACATAAAAGCAAGAATTTATGTATGTAAAGTTCTTTATTTGGAGTGAGTTTAGTTTTACGCCACACTCGGCAATATTGCAGCTATATGGCGGCGGTCTGTAAATAATCGAGTCTGGACCAGACAATCCAGTGATCAACAGCATGAGAATTGATCTGCGCAATTGGGAACCAATGACATGTGTCAACCAAGTCCACCCGATCCCGTTAGTCGTGGAGGAAGATGACATTTCGGAGGATATCCTTACTAGTTCATCAAGTGAAGGTGACATCCATAACCATCTCTGTGACCTTCAGTTTATATTGATTTAGAAAAGTCCTTTCACAGACATTGTAATTATTGCACTGTGAGATGCAATTTAAAAACTATTTCTATACAATTTGTTGATAACAATAATAATAGATATCCATGTTTATACAGTGAGAAAAACAAATTTGGAAAACACACTCCAGTGAAAATGGAAGTAACTGTGTTAATCTAATCTTTAATATGACTGTGATGAAGTAAGAAATTAAGTGAGTTATCTATTTATTGCTATCAGGTAAATTATTTTCCAAAACAGTTTATGCAATATATACAGAGATGGATCTATGTATAAGTATACACTACTTGAGTGTGTAAGTTAGGTTCAATGCTTGTTTGAACATTTCGGTGTAGATTCTTACACAGTTATCAAGCTAAAAGTGAGACGTTGCTCTATGCAATAAACAAGAAGTTGTCATCCATAACGTTATATGCTTCATTACTGACTCACAAACTTCTAAAATGCTGATCAAACAATTCAACTCTGAAATGTTGTGTTCCACATATTACAGTTGAGTTTAGTTTTACGCCGCTTTTAGCAATATTCCAGCAACATCACACAGGGGACACCAAAATGGGCTTCACACATTGTACCCATGTGGGGAATCAAACCCAGGCCTTCGCATGATGAGTGAACGCTTTAACCACTAGGCCACCCCACCGCCCCACATATCACCGGAGTTAACATTGATTCAATTTTTATCTATGTGTATCACTTCTAAATGCCATTCACAGACTTTCATGACAGAGTCAAGAGTCAAGATTGTGATAGTTAAAAAAAACAATACAATTCAACTCAAAGAAATATTTGCCAGTGCACATGATGAATTACATATAAAGACAACAATCACAGTAATATTTCTGCCCAAGAGTGAGGATATATGTTAACATAATATCACCAAAATTCAACTTTGTTTCTTTCATTTAAGATATATGGGTTCAAATACTTCAAAACTGTTTCCACATTTTAACAATTTAATAAACTTAAACATACATATATTTGCCTTTCACTAAACTCTATGGATTTTGTCTGTACATATGTTCTTTGACTTTATCTGATTTTGTCAAAGCGTCAGTTAGCACCTATTGATGGAAACTAGGCGCTATACAAATCCATTATTATTATTATTTTCCATTAAAATATTACTTAAATATTGTATAACAGCATAAAATCATTTTTGGAATTTTCTACTGACATATTTGCAGACTCAGCATACCTAGATACTTTCCTGATGTGTCTAGTGTTTATTAGTGTTTATGCTTGTAACAATACACAATGAAAGGAAATGTGTGAAAAGCTTCATCACATTGTGATATACCTTCTTAATGACTGCAACAACATCCTTCTCAAAGATCTACACAATCACTGGCTCAGATTTTCACACCCTCCCTCATCCTGGTCCTTCATCAATCATTGTTTTTACAAGCACAGCTAAACCGCTAGGAACTGGATTTAGTCCCAATTGCTAAACAAACTCCTCTCACTTAAACCTAAGTGCATGATTCCCAACAAATGTCCAATAATCACAATAAAGGGGTGATTAACAACACTGTTAATCTGTTTAGCAATCCCTCTACAGCTTTACAATAATCCACTTCAGTACACAAACATCCTCATCTCTTACTAAGGGTATCAGACACACGATCTGATTGGCCAGGCAAAGAGGAATGGGCCTAGGTGTGAGTGCATTCTTAAATCTCATTGGTTACTCTTTTCACTTTGATAAAATGTTACATATACAAAAGAATCAGATTTACAATGTGAGAGTCACATCTCCAAATCATCATCGTCAATGTGAGAGTAGTGGATGAAATTCAATGCGATAATCACAGCATGTGTCTCAACCATGATCAGTTTATTGGAGAAGTTACACGGAGATGTTACATGTTTGCTGATATAGAGTTTGCCTAGATATATAAACACTTGGAACACATAATGGCCATATAGGAATCTCAGCCTGAGGTGAACCCAGACTCCTTAACTATCATGATGGAATGCACTGCCACTGCTCTGACTGAAGAATGGGTTGAAGAAGTTGAGTTACGCTACACAGAATCGGACAAGAGCAAGAGTGACATGTTCCTCTATGAAGCGCCCATCATGCCCCAGCCACGCCCCGACTTTTTTCACCTGAGCGGTATGACAGACTCGATGTACGGCGCAGGTATAGAGGGAGCAGCTGCGTGGACGGATGTGCAATATGTGAAAGTCGAGATGCTGGAGGTGCTGCTTACCATCCTACCAGCAGGGGACATAACTCGGTTAAATCACATCATCCCAGAAGTATACATCAACAACTGCAAGGGCACGGAGCGGACAAGTATATATTGTGCGACGCCAACAGATGTACCCCGGAAGGTTCCGAATGTGTGCGAGTTTCGATGTCAGCTGAGGATAATGCGAGAATATCTTATCTTCACAAGCAAACTCACAGCAAAGGAGTGTGACACACTAGCCATATTCCATATTGAAGAACTTCTGTTGAGCATGATGTCAGGAGCCAAACTCCAAAGAGAAAGAGTCCCTTGTAAATGTGAATTCAGTATGTGGACCGACCGTTCTGAAGTGGAGTATGTTCAGTTCATTTTGTCAACACGTTCGGAGGAAACTGGCGAGATCGTAATACCCCAGCCTCCCCCTGACCCATTCCAGCATCGCGGTATGCAGGATTCCGGGGACACCTGTCACTGCGACATGTGCGTGAATCGCCGAGAACAGGAACTCAAACCAGGTGGCCCCCATCCAGAGGTCGACCTTCACACTGTGTGGCAGGCATTCTATGACGTTCAGACCTTCATGGAGGAATACGCCTCCTTCCGTGACTTATCCCACCTTTACTATGTTGAACAGAGGTTGTATCGTATCACACAGTACAGGATGATGCAGTTGTTCTACGAGTATAGCCTTCATAGTTACAGTGACCTCTTCAGCTGTCCGTGTACAGGCAGTGATGATGATGATGATCATGATGATGATGGTGATGAAGATGATGATGGGGAGAGGTGGTTTTGATGATGATGATGATGATGATGGTGATGGCTTGATGATTGATGATGATGATGACATGGACTCAGAAACGCCAAACATATCATCTGTAACCGATGTTAAACTGTATCAAGAGGAAAGACCCTGGTGATCCTTGGTGTGTTATACTTTTCAGTAGAATATTTTCCACTCCATGTCCTGTCATGGTGATAGAGACACTACAGACACATATTGGTCTTAACAATCACTTAAACCATGTCTATAAAACTGTTTAGTTATGTGTGTTGTAAATGTGTGTCACTTATGTGTGAATGTAACCCGGTAATAAATTATTCAACCAAATATAATCTGAATTTCATGGTCTTTAAACTACATACACTGTGAGGATACACTTGTATGCTGGACAAAATAAGTTATATTGTTATTTTCATGACTGATATTTTATCAGTGTGTCAATGAATAACTAGATCATTATTCATAATTTCAAAATTTACATATATCCCTAACTATTTTTGTCCAGTATATTTTAAAAACACAGCTCTACAAAGCTGGTACATTATATCTATTCAAACATCTTGAAATAAATACATGGTATATATTCAGTTAGGTGTCAGGATACTTACCGATGTTTTCTTAGTTCTAGAGTGAGTGAGTTTATTTTTTAATCAGCTTTTAGCAATATTCCAGCAGGGGACACCAGAAATGGGCTTCACACATTGTGCCGATGTGAGGAATCATACGTGACGAGCGTGACAAGCGAACACTTTAACCACTAGGCTACCCCACCGTCCCTTAGTTCTAGAAATAGCCACAAATATCAATGATCCTTAACATTGGTGTGATATAATTGTGTGTTGTCAAAGTCTAAGTAAACTTAGGCTCAGTATTATTCGCTACACTGCTATACTGAGTCTAACAAAACCTTATAGAAGGTTGCGTCAGCTAACCGTTCAATCAAACCGACCTATGACCGTCCGAGATCAAACGCGAGACAACGACTACTTGTTAGGGTTCGGCAGGACTTACAAAACGGTTTTTGAATTTCTCTTCCCTAGTCGCTGACACTGATCTATCAACAAACGAAAATCTGCATAAAACACATATTTGACCTGCAGTATATACACTTATGGGTTTCTAATGACATGGTTACTATTTGCTTATATTTCACAAGATGGCATCCTTGAATATTGACAAAAAGCGCTACTTTCAGCGACTGTTTACTGATTAGCGTGTATTACTCGAAAGCGATCGTGGTGGAAAATAGCACTCGGAATCGCGTTTGGGTTTTGGAGGTAAAGGTTCAAGCGGTATGTCGCGCGAATGTCGGGATTTGGTAAGCTGTGTTCTGATTGGTTGGTCAGGTTAGCTGGACGCTAACCTTCTATAAGGTTTTGTTAGACTCAGTATAGCAGTGAAGCGAATAATACTGAGCCTAAGTTTACTTAGACTGTGTGTTGCCATTTCATTGTATGAGTTAATATCTACATGAACTCATGGTTTTAACGTCATGTCTGTATTTTAAAATGCTATTTATGAATATGAATATGTTCCTGAAGACTGATTCAACATAACTTAATGGTTAAATAAAAAATGATAAAACAAGCCATTGCTGCTGTTTTAGTAACAAAAACCTTGGAACTATGCATTTGTAACACATAGTGACACCTTGTTATACAGGACACCTTGTAATTCAAACTAAGGATTGGCAACACATATAGTGACACCTTGTTATACAGGAAACCTTGTAATTCAAACTATGGATTTGTAACATAGTGACACCTTGTTATACAGGACACCTTGTAATTCAAACTAAGGATTGGCAACACATATAGTGACACCTTGTTATACAGGACACCTTGTAATTCAAACTAAGGATTGGCAACACATATAGTGACACCTTGTTATACAGAACACCTTGAAATCGTGGAATTGGTAACACTCAATAGAACAACAAAAACTATTTCCTGTGACTTCCTGCATTTCATATAATTTTACCATGCCTTTGGCACCACATGAAAATAAAATCAGTCACAGGTTTATTACTTACTTGGTAGTGGCACCATCTCTGACAGTGTCCCCGCACATGTACTGTAAGATGATCTCACAGTGACTGTTGGCGTCGTGACATGAGTGCTGGTTGGTCCTGTGGAAAGTAGACAGTATTTTAACATGCAAGTAACCACGACAACTCATATTCATCTATGTAATCCATGGGCGGATCCAGGAATTTTGAAAGGAGGGTTCAGGGGTTGAACCCCTGAACCCCCATTATCCGCCAATGCCAAAACAATCTTCAATGAGATGTTAAGTCATTTTCAAGGGGTCGAACCCCCAGAACCCCCTCTGGATCCCGCCACTGTAATCATCAATAAGCAAGTTAATATTGCTCATCTTTTCTTGTTTTGTGCACATACACAATTGTTTTAGAAAGCGGTAAACCTGAGACATGATTTAGAGTGTGTGAGTATTGTTTAACAACATTACATCAATAAGTGAAGACTATAAGTGGAGACTTTATGTGGAGCTTCATCCTCTGCATACTTAACCATGCAGGGGAGAATCGAACCCATTGACCGACTCAGTGCATTACTTAACAACTAGGCTATCCCACAGTCCCCAAACATTGAAAAGACATTGTTGTGTTATTTGTGTGATTAGCCAACATTATTATAAACATTTCAACAAAATCACACAGCACCAACTACTTGAGATTTACACAACCTGTATTTTAGAAGAGACTTTTCTAAACTGCAGAGCAGTTGTTGGCATGTTTAAAATTAAGGCAAACACACCACTGGAACTACATTCTGACACATGGTTATACACTGTAGTATACTATTATCCAAACAACCAGTTAGATATGTTTAAATGTGCACAGATGCTGCAGCTGATGTGCTGGGGCCAACTCTTACCATTCTATTGGCAGCAAAGACCCCTGATAGTAGAAGAGGGATCCCACGTTGTATCCCCCTCGAGCATTGTTCTGGGAATCAAACATCCTGAAAACACAACGCTTATAATGAACAATGGTCTTAATCACCCACGACAGTGATCATCATGACCAACGGCATATCATCTGTATCATCTTATAGCATGTTTGTTGTTTTAACACAGCACTTGGCTTTATTCCAGCTGTCTGATGATGGTCAATAAATAACCAAGTCTTCAAATTTTGTTTTATTGAATGATTAATTTTGTATTTTAGAAACAAAAGTTAATTGTTTAGGCATCGATGAACTGTGAATTAGAAAAATAAGCTTGAAAATAAATCAAACTGACGAACAAAAGCGAATACCTCTTATTTTTATCAATTCTGAAGTTACTAACATTTTGTTCAAATATTTCCATGATCATGGAAATGCAGATTTCGTATGGGATGGGATCAGTATTGTCAGCTACATTCGGTTTGATGACACAGAATCAATCATGTCACCGAGCCTGACCACCCAATCCATTTGGTCCCAACAGATACAGGTTGCTGGGGACCAATTCTAACCCAGAATTCTCATTGTGTACACAGCAATAAACTACAAGTATGAGTGAGTATTTAGGCTACCAACAAGTCACTGTCTTGACATAATAACATATGACGACCAGTCATGTGCTCTTTTTGCTGGTCACGGGCCAAATGGCTAGCGGTTCAATCAATGCACAATGTCAAGATCAGCAAGGGTTCACCTGGAGTGAGTGAGTTGAGTTTTATGCCGCACTCAGCAATATTCCATCTATATGTCAGCAGCGTGGCACTCAGCAATATTCCAGCTATATGGCAGCAGTCTGTATATAATCAAATCTGGACCAGACAATCCAGTGACCAACAGCATGAGCATCAATCTACACAATTTGGGATATGATGACGTGTCAACCTAGTCAGCGAGCCTGACCACCCGATGCCGTTAGTCACTTCTTACGACAAGCATGAGTTGTTGAAGACAAGTTCTAACCCGGACCTTCACGGGTGGCTCAGCTGGATGAGGCTTAACGACATCTCAGGAAGGTCTTGGTTTGCCAGCTATATAGCATGTTTTGGGACCAATTGAAACGTTTGTTGTCAGATAAAAAATTATTTCCTTAAAGAACCACTAAACTTTGTTTTGTTACTCTTTTAACCATTACATATGAAAGATTTGTGGTTAGTCTTATGCGGAACACCAAATTTATTCTTTAAAACTTGTGGTTAATTAATACCGGCGATTAAAAGTGGCCAAAAAGTAAGCCTGCTTCCCTCTCGCCCGCCGAAACCACAGACAGGTTACGTAACTCTGTCGCCAGAGCACTGCAGTGGCGTCATATGAGGAGCGATTTTCAGTTAGTTGTATAGAAAATGTGTAGCACGCTCATCATTTTGATGATTTCTCGACATCAACGATGACATGCCCGAATCGTTGCTTTGTCGTCAATTGCTCTCCTAGGGTCGGGCGATGGTGTCCCCATGCACAGATTTCCACAGGACCCCGCAGTTCGTGCTAAATCGGTTATGTTTGTGAGTGCGGCGGCGTTGTGGAAAGCCTGAAGCGATATCTTACTTGTGTTCAGATAAGCTTCACTGAAGTTAAAGAATCAAAACTACTTACTAGTTGTTGTAAAATATGCATATGATTGATGACCATAAAGATTTTCTATGACACAACTTGTAACATAACGATTTCTTCCCTCGGAAGTGAGGTTGTAGTCGAAGTAACAATAATATTGTAAGTAGTATTATATTGACACCCACCTGCGCTGCCAGGAGAAATTGTTATGTTATACGCTATGTCATGCAAAATCCTATTGGCCATCAATAAAATACATATTTTACTACCAGTAGAAAGTAGTTTTGATTTTGTAACTTTCGGTGAAAACAAACCTAAATACCATTTATCCTCAGACTGGCGGATGTTCCCGACAGAGCGCCATCATTTTAAAAATAAAAAAATCTGTTAGAATTAATGAGATTATAGTTTGTTTTCATCAAGTTAGATAATCAAGACTACTTTCTACTAAGTAGTTAAATATGTATTGGAATCATAACCAAAGCGGATTTTGCATGACACAACTTATAACATAGCGATTTCTTCCACGGAAGCGAGGTGGGGGTCGAAGTCATAATGCTTAGCTGATAAATTTCTTGCTACATTCCATGGTTAATGTCCACTCACCAGTATGTAGATACTAGTCAATGTGCGTCTTTATATTTGGTCTTATAATCCTAATTAGTCTATTATCATACTTGTATGCATTTTTGAAACTAAATAAAAGCAGGCGATCTGCTGATACTTATAGTGAATTTATAACAGAACTGTAATATCTAGACATTTTATAGTTTGCCAATGTGAATCATAATTCGACACACACCTAGTGCATGTTGTCTGACTCATTACACTTCACGGGTGAAAACAATGATTCTGTTGAATGCTACGACAAATGAATAAAATCAAAATGCAACTATTAAAATTAAAACAGATTAAAGTTATAGGAACAATATCAGGCCATTACCTGGTTAGGAATGTATCCATCAATATCCACAAAACTGTTCCAAATGATGTGTCTTTTAACAGTTTAATATCTGAAAAAAGTGATAAATCTTTTCAGGTATTGGTGTATAGTCTCATTGGTCACCCAAGATAGCACACCTGGCAACTAATTGCATAATGTCCGCCTTTCTTTAAAACAGTAATTTAGTTAGCCAATAATGTCGGCAATCAATCAATGTATTGCCGGTTAATCCTTTGAAAGAAGGGCGTTGTTTTACGCATGAACACCGACACCGCAGAGTGTATTCAGTATAGATTAGTAAATCTACATACATAAACACTACCTTTTGACAATTCCGCTGTGTAAGATAAAAGTAATTAATCAATCAGCGAAGTTATCGGTTAATCCTTTGATCGATGTTTATAATGTTGAATATTTACTCCAGACACAAGAAATGCCACATGGGAACCTTTGTCGGGTAATCTAAGTGTGTTACCTCTAATTATACCTGTTATAAATTCATTAACTGACCATCAAGTGAATGATGACAAATAACATGTGTAGGTTTATACCACCTAACACGGGTTACAACAAGGAGTATTAATTGCTGTATTGCATGTGAAAACTTATGGGCCGACACTGTTTTTTGAGAATACAAACAGATTTTTACATGACATGATTAAATATCGAGGTAAAAAAACACAGAAATGGGATCGATTTGGATCAGTCATTATACAAATAGGGCCCTAACGACACTAATCGATTTTGACAGAATCGTCTATGAAAACAAGTTGTAACTCAGGAAACTAGGCAAAAGCAGGAGACAAAATTAAATGACAGTAGATTGTGAGAACATATAGCTTTTTATTTTCCACAACAATTGTCACGCGATTTCAGGTTTATACAAGCCTGTAAACAAGATAATTTAACCCTAAAATGTAGATGAATTCTGCATCGGCCCTCAAAGCTATTCCTCATATGACGTCACAGACGTAGCGCGCTCTGATTGGTTGAAATTTCGATTCGGCGGGTGAGAATTGTGCACTGTTGTCAAAAGGTCGATTTAAGTCAATTAAAGGTCGAAATGAGTAGTTTTAATGACGGGGTTTCATTTATAACGATGCCAGTTAGTGATTTATGTATTTGTACCCCCCTAGGCCTTTAAGTTTTGAGAGTTACCCCATCACCAAAATATACTGCAGATGCTGAATTATAAGAGTTTATAGGTGACCGTTGTCGCACATTCTTGTGTTTTGATCTGCCTTTTTGTAATGTTATCAGCTGAAGTTTATCAACGAAATACTGAAAATCATTTGTACGGCTTGTATAGATCAAATCTGCCATTTTATACAACATACTGCGACCATTGACTTCACTGGTGCTGGCAAAGACAAAACCAGACCTTTTGAAAAGAAGGCATTTGTTTAAAGTGTGTGAGTGAGTTCAAATATAACATCACATCGGCAATATTTCATCCATATAGTGCCGAAAACAATTTCAGTAAATATAGATATTTGTCGCAATGGACAGTAAAACATTAGCAACATATCACAGAATTCAAGTCTAAAATCACTTCTAATTCTAAAATATTCTACTCAACACAAATTGACACAATCAATAATATTAAAACACGGGATATGGACGACCAGCAACAAAAGCTGGGTCACCTTACTGGGGATGACTTCAGCTTCCTGCATGAATTCTAGGGATGTCACGATACAAAAGTTTCATGAATAGATCTATATGTATCACGACACCTATATCACGATTTGATACATATCACGAAACCTATTATTGCAGCATTATTGCCATTTTAATTTAGTTACATTTTGAACAATAATATTTCATATTTTATAATTGTCCATGAAAAGGACTAATTTAAAAAGTTCTAATTTCCCATCTTTGTGCATGAAAAATAATCATTTATAACTCTCATAACATCAAAAAACATGATACAATTACAAAATGTAAACAATTCATAAACATATTTAAACCTATACTTTCAAAATTAAATATCAATACAATTTTGAATCGATAATTGTATCGTCTTAGAAAAAGTATCGATGCATCGATGTATCGTGGCATCCCTAATGAATTCCCAGCAGGATTTAAACCATCAATTCAATCACTGTAGTTGAAACAATGCCAGCCATATATGTAAACAATGTTCAATTATTAAAGCAATACATTAAGCTGGTTGACTGCAATGTACAATGATACTTAGTATGACTGAGGGGGACAATCTTTTTACAATACTTCAACCCCATTAGCACGGCCAAAATAATAATACCGGGTAATGGTTTTCAATGACCTCAACCTCAGTTAAAACACATCCATTCAAAAACTACTGAACAATCCTATCTCTTTTATAAACCCTGTAATTAAATGTGAATTGATACAGCTAACAAGATCCTTTAAATCTGAAACTTGGTAATTAGTATCCCTTGTGAGAGAAAATTCTACACAGTCAAGCAGAATGTGAGTGACCATGATTGATTCATCACAAGGGATACAAAAGGGAGGATCTTTGCCTATTAATTAATAT